AGCTTTTTTAATAAAGGAAGATTCGAGTTTGACAACTTCGTTTTTTTTATAATTATGTAATGAAGAGGGCTATCTCCATGGTATAGCTCAATAGTTTCATTAGAACTCCGATGATATATATATATATATATATAGTACATTCTGATCACTTAAGATCAAGTAATACACTAAATAATTCCCACCTTCACATGGGATTTAATTTGAGGATAAAAGCTATAAGTATATATAATTAGAAGGAGTTGAAATTAATTAGTCTAATCCTTTTTAGTCTTCCCAATTATCCCCTCCAAGCCAATACTCAGCCACGATCATATCAAGATCCTTCTCTGACCTAATTTAATCTATTTTTAACCAATGTCATTTTCAGCATTAATTCAAATGCATGAATTAACTTGTTATTAGTCTTTAGGGTTGCTTCGATAATACATCATTTCTTTACACAATACTTTGATTCCAATTTTCTTTCTCATTAATCACATAACTATAACTAGATCTAGCTAGTTACCTAATTAATTATCGATCATTTTATTATTATTAATTAATGGTGTGATAAGATTCCATGCCTATAAATATCCTAAGAACATATAGAAATCTAATCTCCATTAATTTTGACTCATATATATTACTACATGATGTCATATGTTAGATAGGATGGGATTTAGATTAAAAGAAAAGAGAGAAGAAGAAGAAGAAGGATTGAAATCCCTGATAATGTGGACCTTTAATTTGAGTATGTCTGCTTGTGATTTCAGTTCACATGGCTTGATCTTATTTTGAATTCAGTCCCAACAATCTTGCATAAACTCATGGAAACCATGAAGCAATCAACCATGGCTATACATACTTTTATTTTATTTTATGTTATTTTTTATTCCTTCCAACTTCCAACCCATATGCTTACCATATCAAATGAATGAAATGCAACAGAGAAACCAATAGATGTTTTGACAAAGCAATAACCGATTAGTCAAAATATTAAATTAGAATATTTTGTAATCTCTTTCGAAATCCAAGAACTAGAGAATAATTTAGTCAAAAAGTTGATAGGATTTCAAATGTGAAAGGAGAAACTAAAAATTGCAAGGTTCAATTGTATAGTCAGGCAGATTTGAGAACAATGTCCAACAAAAAACACGAAGTGGCAGAAAACAACAACTTGCTTATGACGGCTGAATAGTCAAAAAGTAATTTCTTTTTAAAAAAGTAAGTTTAAAGAAGGGGCCACGATTTAAGGTAATAAAAACTTAAAAAAAGCAGCCGATTTCTCTCCGTTCTTTGCTCCACCTCTCACGTACGTTCAACTCCTCCTTCAATATATAATTAATATATATCTATGTAAATTTGACCTTTTTTTAAAAAAAAATACTACTAGTAATTAAATTTGAAAAATATCATTTGCCCTTTTTTAGTTTTAATTAAATAATTTAACAACTGATCACGATGGAGGCAAAAAAGTAAAATTCACTGTCTAGGCAAGAATCCCATCATGATGCTGCATGCATGCGTACCATAGAGAGAAAATGCCTGCCTTGCATGTGATTCTATCAAGGAACAAATTAATATATATAAAGTTAATTGGTTTGGTAAACTAACTAATTATATAGTATATTGTGGAAAGTGTATAATTAAAGCTTATATTATGTAAAATAATAAAGGTATCTAGGTAGCTAGGATTTGAAGTGTGAAGAGATTATGAACTTGGGGTTGAAGCAAAGAGATGTTTGTTTGTTTGTTTTTTTTTTTTTTTGGTTTTTTCAAGTATTTTTATCCAACATTTAAAATATGATTAATTCTATTTAGAACGAAAACGATAAAATTTAATTCCTTTCAATCACATTAGAGATATGATTAATCATATTCGGAGTGAGAGCGATAAAATTTAACTCTTCTCAACTATGTTAAAGATATGGTTAATCTTATTCAAAACAAGAGCTATAAGATTTAACTTCTTCCAATCACATTGAAAATATGATGAATTTTATTCGGAATAAAAATGACAAAACTTAATCTTTCTTAATAAATATAATTTTAAAATTTAGATCCTATATATTAACAAAAAATTCCCATGGAATAGTTGGTTTAACGTTGGGTCAATAACTTACTGTAAAGAGATCTTTCCTTTAATTGTACACATATAACAGCCGCAATAAAAGGGAGGAAATTAAGATGCAGGTAGGCAAGAAGAAGCTAGAGATGCATATTTTCTGTGTCCATATGCAAACCTTAGGAATTTGTCATTTCAAGCAATTAACCATACATGTATATAGTAATATTGCAGTCCTTTTCATGATCATTCTCCTTTGAGTTTTATTGGACTAATTTGGAGCGCTTTACGTATTTGCCCTTAATTGGATGGAGCTGACCAACCATCATACATCACCAATGCGACTCACGTACGTACGTAGTCTACTTTTTGAGGTTGAAAAATTCGGGTAATATGGAGACACAAAGAATTGGCTGATCAAAATGTTGGAGTCTTTCGAATTTTTTCATCAAAATGTTAATTAAGGATGACTTCAGTTCTTAATCCGATAATCAAGGTAGAAATCTAATTCATCTCCCAGTATTTTTTCTTTTACGATAATACTTTACAAAGCTACAAACAAATATTTATGCAAAAATTCTTCTCAAAATACGGCGCTGATTAATGTTTTAATCACCAAATTCTTGCTATAAATACCACCTCTACCTGCTTTAACTTCCCATCACTCTCCACGCAAATTCATTCAACTCTTCTTTTCTCTCCTGTCAACTACCTATCACTTGCATTAATTCATATCATCCATAGAAACCAAAGAAAAACATCTACCTATGGCACTCCCTCTTCTTTTTACCCTTCTCTTCGTCATTTTCTTTGCCTCCTCACCTTTAGCAAAAGCAGAAGAATATAGTGTGCTACGTTATGGGGCCACACCTGATGGAAAAACTGACTCAACCAAGGCCTTTGAAGCTGCCTGGTCAGAAGCATGTGCCTCTGCACAGCCAGCCACAATTTCTGTTCCTAAAGGGAGTTTCACTTTAGGTCAAGTGAGGTTTCAGGGTCCTTGCAAGAATAATGCTATTTTGCTACGTATAGATGGCACCCTACTCGCTCCGTCAGATTATGGGGTCATCGGTAGTGCTAAAAATTGGCTAATCTTTGAGCATGTTGATGGAGTTACTGTTTCCGGAGGGACTCTTGACGGACAAGGTGCTGGACTGTGGTCTTGCAAGAGTTCCGGCAAGGGCTGCCCCAAAGGTGCAACGGTATGCTAATCACATGCAATTTTGTTCTGTTGACTAAAATACACAATCCATATATCTTCGATCCCATGATTATTGTTTTTTATTGTGCAGTCACTTGAATTTTCCAATTCAAACAATATTGCTATTACCGGATTGGCATCATTAAATAGCCAAATGTTCCACATCGTCATCAATGCCTGTCAAAACGTTAACGTGCAAGGAGTAAAAGTCTCTGCTGCCGGCGATAGCCCTAACACCGATGGCATTCACGTTGGATCATCAAGCGGGGTCACCATCTTGAATTCTAGGATTGGAACGGGTGACGATTGTGTATCAGTTGGCCCCGGTACCTCTAATCTATGGATTGAAAATGTGGCATGTGGACCTGGCCATGGGATCAGGTAATTAATTAAGAAAATAATAGTCTAATGATTATCAATTACATATACATTTACTGTAATGCTAACAATGGGTACATGCATGGTTGATTTAGCATTGGAAGTTTGGGCAATGACCCCGAAGAGGCTGGAGTGCAAAATGTGACGGTCAAAACCACTACATTTACTGGTACAGAAAATGGAGTGAGAATCAAGGCATGGGGAAAGCCTAGCACTGGTTTTGCAAGAAATATTCTTTTCCAACATGCAGTCATGAACAATGTCCAAAATCCCATTATAATCGACCAGAGCTATTGTCCTGACAAGAATTGCCCTGACCAGGTAACCAAATCAACCATTATACTATTTTTTTCAACAAATTTTGAATGGTAAATTATAAAATGTAGTTAAATCTTTCTCTCTATTTTCTTGTACCTTAAGCAGGTTTCTGGAGTAAAAATTAGTGACGTGACCTACCAAGACATTCATGGATCATCGGCAACAGAACTTGGGGTGAAATTTGACTGTAGCAAACAAAACCCATGCGCTGGGATTAAACTGGAAGACGTGAAGCTGACTTACAACAATCAACCCGCAGAAGCGTCATGTAGCAATGTTGGTGGAGTTGCTTCAGGACTGGTTCAGCCTAATAGCTGTTTGTAAGATCCTGAAGATGAACTATTTGACAAAGCAAGAAATTAAGAAGAAATAGTAATAGCATATATATAAGGAAAAAAAAATGTAATGAGCAAAGTTAGCTCATTGAGTCAAAGTTGATTGCTTGAGCCTGTGGCGCTTTTCTGCCCGACCTATGCAATTATAGTTGTGGAGAGATCCAAAAGTTTACCTATGCAAACTCCTACGCACAGTTTGCTTAGTTTTTGGTTCATCAAATTTGATCTTTATATGAGAATTATGTTGTTTTACTTAATAATATTCAATTTGCATCAAATTTGATCTTAATAATATTTTATATTATTTATTATATATTTATAACTTATTTATTTTTTAATTTGGTTCACTAAGTTTGCCTATATTTTATTTAAATGAATTGTTATATGTAGGAGCTTAATTACACAATATATATATATATATATATATATATATATATATATATAAATGATTAGCCTCAGCAATATAAAAGAAACGAAGACTCTTGGGCCTAGGGCCCATTTACATACAGTTGTAGACATAAAATTAAGCGGCGTCCTGAAGTTCTAAATGTTTGTTGAATTTCACTCCTAGTAGAACAAGGAAAGCAAGGTTCCTAATTTAGTCCCGATTGTAGTTCCGACTCCCAATCTATCTATATATGCGTATAATTACCCCTCCAAAATTAATTTGTTGCTTGTTCTTCTTCTTCGATCTAAAGAGAAGAAAAAGAAGAGAAATTAAATCATGGCTAGCAATATAATTGGCTCTTGTCTTCCGACAGACATGATCACAGAAATTCTATCAATGCTGCCCCCGAAATCCTTGCTTCGGTTCAAGAGTGTCTGCAGAAACTGGTTGGCTCTCATCACAAGCTCCCACTTTATATCTTTCCATTCTCAATTTCGCCCCAAACAATCTGTCTTCTTCACATGCCTTAAAGAAGGCCAATCAAGAGTATCATGTTGCATCACATCAATACTTCCTGATGGAACCAGTTGCAGACTTGGACGTGATGCAGGTGATGGTGATGGAGACATGCCATCATTCATCATCCATGATCTTGTCGGTTCAAGCAATGGCCTGATATGCTTGTTAGCCAGAAGTGTATATTCTACTGAAGAGGACTACGTCTTATGGAACCCGGCAACTAGACAATATCGCCATCTGCCCGCCTCCCCTCTTCTTGCTCGTTTCAGTGAAAAAAATGGTAGGCATGCTTTCAGGATTCAAGTTGCCGGGTTTGGTTTCCATCATGGAATAAACGACTACAAATTGTTCCGAATTGTTCAGACACCGAATGCAACCCATGCTGAGGTTTTCACATTGAGTGCAGGTTCTTGGAGAGAAGTTGATGAAGCCCCTATTGAAAGAGCTGGTGAATGTTATTTTGGGCATCCCATTGGTCCTGGGGTGGTTGTTAAGGGAGTGTGGTATCATGTGGGGTTCGAGTATTCACTCCACCGCGAATTTGATGATGATCGAGAGGAGACGCACGAATTTGATACTGAACCGAAGAAGAATACGTGGTTGATTCTGAGTTTTGACATGGGCAACGACACTTTATCGGAGACGGTTGGTGCCGGCCAGCTGCCTTACCAGTATTTTGACCCTGACATTACGAGAAAACTTATGGTGTACAAGGATTCACTTGCGATGAGCATATACAGGAAAAAAGAATCATGTCATGAGATTTGGACATTGAAGAGTACTGATGAAACTTGGACTCGGCTGTTTATAATTCCTAACATTGAGACGGTTTTGGGATTTTGGAACGACAAAGAAATTATAATACGGAGAGGCTATAATCCTAATGTAAGCTTGGTTTTGCTTGATCCCTTCACCAAACGTTTGAGGATGCTACCGCAAAATGATGATGTAATTTATTTTCGTCATGCTCATACTTATGTGGAAAGCTTGGCTTCAATCTTCTAGGGCTACTCTTCTATTGGTATTAGAGTTTTATAAAGCTACTCTTCTATTGGTATTAAACAAATTACTTCGAAACTCAGTAATCATCTTGTGCTCTATGGAATTTCAAACTGTAACATGCGATGCAGCCAGCACATTGATAGAAAAAAACATGTAATTTTAGTCCTTGATGTTTTATTAACTAAGTCTCCATATGTGATTTTAGTGGCTATTTGATGTGTACGAATATGATATGAAGTAGGCATCCAAACCTGCAAGCTCATATATACTAATATGATAATTGATAGGCAGGCATGCATTTTTCTAACCTATACCTGCTTCATACCATTTCATTTCCTTCCCTACATCCTCTGTCAAAAGTGGCTTCTCCCGTCGTTATTTTTCTTCTTTGATGCCTTGCGTGTACAGCAAATAAAGAATGCATTGCCCAGATACTTCAAGTGCCAATAAATTTAAGCAAATATTTATTCAACAGCATTGAATTATCCTCCCACAGAGAGCATGCGTCCGGTGAGATTTGGTATGGTTTTGTGATCCCCTGTAGAATAATGTACTGCTTCCGACGCATCCATCTCCATTCGTTGCATATCAGACTGCAAACAAAATAAGGGCTACACCTATTATATATTCTTCACTGTGGATTGTATCTAAGCTTCAAGTTTCGGTTCCTGAAGTTTTACATCATATAGAACTGAAAACCATAAGGTTGCAATTCTAATGACACAACACGTTCATAATAAGTTGAATAAGATTGCCTGCAGAATTTGTGAAGCAACTCTCTTCAGGGACATAAAAATATAGAGGATCATAAAAATATGACATCGACGATTCATGAAATGCCATATTTCGGTTACATGTTAATTTGACACCAGCAACTAAAGCACAAATCAAAACAGACCCAAAGCAATCAGAACTGAAAGGCATACAACATAACATATTGCAAGCAAGAAATTCTGCATTTAAATCTTTGAGTTTACTCCCACCACATCATTGCGAGAGGCAAGCGATCAATCGGGACAATTGTTGGTTTAATTTGGTGACTGCCCAGGTTCCACAAGGTTTGTGCAACCTGTTTGTCTAGTTTTTATATAAAAGTGCAATTTGTTTTCAGGGACAAATATCTTGGTCCAAGATTCAACAATACATTCTCCTTCATCAGCTACCTCCAAATGATCCCATTTGTAAGTATCAATTAAACAGCAGAGATAAAGGGCACCCCCCAAAACCCCAACATGTTGAGAAGGATAGTCAAAATTTTCATCCCTATAAACAACAGATGGAGACCACTTGATTTGAATTGCTCGTTAAAGCAATTTCATGCACATATTTGCTCAAAACCTCCATGATGACTGAGCAAACCAATGAAAAGATCCTATAGCCAAACAAAAAAAAGGTAACAATAATAATTATTTAAACAGATTGTATCTTACACTGCACCCACACACAATCTTGCTTAAACCATCTTCTTCTTCTATCAACATATTGTGACAATCCTTTTCATTAACAGTCTTCAAAATCCAAATATAAGGGTGATTGAAGCGTTTCTAAGTGGATAAGTAAACCTAAGAACCTTAAATTTCTCAGTCTTGGGATCAAACCCAAGTCCACTCAATTTTGCATGCAAACGCACTCCGTCTTCACATGGAGAAAAACTAATATACTCGCATGTAAAAGGATTTATTATGTGTATAACTTTGTAATCTTTGACATGACACAAATAAGAGAACCGGGCAGGCAATTGAGCTCTGCTGAAAGATTAAAGTGAAGGGATTCTCCTTCAAATTCAAGCCAGTACAAGTTTTTCTCTTTCATACAGAGAAAAAGACTTGTGGGTTCTCTTATTGAGAGGTTACAATTAGCAAAACCAGGGTCGAAAAGGATTTGTTCCCATGACTTGCAAACGTACCTGCATCTTGGAAGAAAAGTGAATAGCACTTTGCAGAAGATTATCTTGAGGATGTGATCTGGAAGTCTTGAAATGTAGCAAGGCATAGTTTTATAAGCCAATCTTGCTTCTTTTAATGGTTGCTCACCGGAAGAATTCATCAGCAAGCGGGCGTTAGAGACGGTGGAGAGACGCGGGAAGGCTCCTCTGATTCAAGGTTTTCACTTCTGGGACGCCGGGACGGGAACGAGTCAAAATTTTCCCCTATATTTTTTTGGACCTTATTGGATCTGGGCTGGACCTCATGTAACTTGATTTGTCTAGATTCCTAAAGCCCATTTGTATTATTTGAATTTAATTTCTAAAAAGTACGAAGACTAGAGATTTTCTCCTAATTAATCAGTTTTATGTTTTCAAAAAATGTGATTTTTTTCCAAGGAAAAAAAGAAGGTATTTTCTATTTATTTTTATAAAAAATAAAAAAGGTATTTCCAAGGAATAAACTCACTCAAAGGGCTAGCTACTACTTATATTTAGAAACAGCTAGTGGGCTGAAGCAGGCCTGAAGCAACTCCACCAACATTGCTTGCATGAAAGCTTCAGCTTGCTGATTCTTGTAGCTCAGCTTTACATCAACCATGCACGTAAACATTATTATTATTATTATTATTATTATTCAGAAATTCAGTTCCCATAATTAGCAATACATTAAATATTAATTAGACTACTATTTTCTTGATTAATTACCTGATCCCATGGCCAGGTCCACATGCCACATTTTCAATCCATAGATTAGAGGTACCAGGGCCAACTGATACACAAACGTTACCCGTTCCAATCCTAGCATTCAAGATGGTGACCCCGGTAGATGATTGAACGTGAATGCCATCGGCGTTAGGCCTATCCCCTGCAGCAGAGACTTTCGCTCCTTGCACTTTAACGTTTTGACAGCCATTGATGACGATGTGGAACAAATGGCTATTTAATGATGCCAATCCGGTGACTGCTACGTTTTTTGAATTGAAAAATTCAAGTGACTGCACAATATAAATAAATTAACAAGAAAATTAAGAATTTGAAAACAGATTGCATAATTAATATTCAGTCTAGAGACCAAATTGTAAGATAGTTATGTACGTATTGATGCATGTGATTAGCATACCGTCCGTTGCGCCGTTAGGGCAATCCTTGCCAGAATTCTTGCATGACCACAGTCCGGCACCTTGTCCATCAAGAGTCCCTCCTGATATAGTAACCCCATTAACTTGCTCAAAGATTAGACAATTTTTAGCATTACCGATGACCCCATATTTTGATGGAGCGACTAAGGTGCCATCTATACGTAGCAAAATAGCATTATTCCTGCAAGGACCCTGAAACCTCAATTGACCTAAAGAGAAACTCCCTTTAGGAACAGAAATTGTGGCTGGCTGTGTAGAGGCACATGCTTGTGACCAAGCAGCAGCGAAGGCCTTGGTGGAGTCAGTTTTTCCATCAGGTTTATACCCATATTGGTCCTTGATAGAATGGAGAAAAAGTATATACCCATAAATGACAAATTCCTTGATAGAATCACATGGCAATGCTATTAATTGTTGTCGTCTGTTCAATCCTTGATAGAATCACATGGCATTTTGTTTCTTGTCCTTAGTATTGAGTCATTCACTAAGTACATAGATTGTACCTTATCTCCTTTCCGCACATACAACATGATAATGAGGTAGTTATTGAATAATCTTTTTGTAAATCGAAATTACGTTTGTCACTGTCTAAATTAGATTAGTATTGAATTCCAATCATTTCTAGCTTTAGATGTACAATAAGAATTAGATTTTTTGAATTCACTATCAGTCAATATCTACTGTCAAAAATAATAATAATAATAATTTTTTTTAAGAATGAGCATCAAATTCTTAATTTAATGAATAAAATACTTTTTTTTTTTTTTTACCATTTCATATACAATCCTTTAACATCGGGGTTATATGCTTAATTAGGCTAGTGAATTTTATTTTTTGGACAAAAAAACCCTTGTGAGTTGTTAAGATTTTTAAGTATAAAAAAAGGTAAATGATATACATGGAAATAATTTAGTAACAATAATATTGTCCCCAATAAAGAAAAAGAATTTACTAGTAAATATTTTGGTCATTATATATATATATATATGTATAGCAATAATGGGCAGCAATTGTTGGAAACTGGGGGCTGGACGTGACAAGTGGAGCAAAGAACGGAGAGAAAAAAGGGCTGCTTCTTTTTTAAGTTTTTATGGCCCCTTCCCTTAAACTTGCTCTTTCTTTATTTTATTCTTAACTTTTTTTTCAGTTTTTGTATAAATAAATAAATAAATGGAGTCGAGTATTTGAATATATATATATTATAGCATAAACCAAGAAAAAAACCTGCCTAACCATACAATACAATAGATCAACGAACAACACAATTTTTACTTCCTTCCTTCGCATTTGCAATCCCATCAACTTTTTTATTATTTATGGCAAGATTTTTGGGACAATTACCAACTTAATGAAATCAGATTAAGCTGAAATCACAGGAACAAGTCTCCTTAATTTTCTTTTATCCAAATCCCATCACTTATATCCAACAAATGACATCATGTACGTACTATTAATGGATATTATTATACTAATAATCGGAAAGTAAATCCCACTGAAAGCATTGTGTAGAGAAAAATTAATTAAGATGTGTATCAAATCAAATTAAGCAACCCTAAAGACTAACAAGTTCATGCATTTGATTAGCTTGTTAATCAATACTGAAAAAGATAACAGGCTAAACTAAAGGAGGTCAAGGAAGGATGACGAGCATATATATGATCAAAGGCTATCTCCTATATATATTGTAATTATATATAACGATATCTGTTGGCTTGAAGAGGAGAATTGGGAAGAGTAAAAAGAAATATTACACTAATTTCAACTCCCTCAATTCCGATCCACAAATGAAGATGGGAATTAATTAACTAATTAATTAATTAGTTACCTCTTGACCTTGAGTGATCAGAATTTACTAAATAAAGTACAGTACCTTAAACCCATCATTTCTCAGTGTCTTAATTGGATTGTTAGAATAATTAATAGCCCTTTTCCTTCATTATTGCTATTGATTTCAATCATTGTTCGTCCTACTTTGAAGATGAGATCTTGAGTACTGCACAAGATCAGACAATAATATTATTCAATTTATTTATGAATAATTAAGGCCGTTGCTCACATGCATTCCAAAAACCAAAATTCCTGGCTGAGCTTGATCAATAGATAGAAAAAGAATGGGCTTTTGGTGTGTTTGAGGACCAAAACATGTACGTCTCGAATCCAAGTCTTCGACACACACACAAACACATGTAATAAATAACAATGTTTGATGTGTGAAAGCTATAGCTTAATATCATTGCAATTGCCTTGTTTTAGGGATTCCTGGTTTCGCGCATTTTTTGCCAGAGGTAGCATGTGATGAGTTTGACAATCAGTTTCTTACACATATAATAATTTGATTTTTTTTTTCCTTTTATTTTGTTTAGAGTATATACAGTAATTTGAGGTTGATTAGGCACATGGTGTCCCAAAATTCAACATCTAATTCCATTCTAAGTGTATACCATATTTAGTCTACCTAATACCATATTTGTAGCATAAATACCCCAATTCTCACTTAATTATAAATCTAGCTAGTTTGACAGTACTCTAGCTGGCTATTGGCCTTGAGCCCTTCACCTTCTTCATATATAAAAAAATAATTCATTTAATTTGTTGGTATTAATTGGCAGAGCTTCATCTTGAATTTTTTTTATGATGAAGGTCAAACTGCTCTATGTGCCATACTTCATATGACATAACGTAGGTGGCCAAGAGATAAACATGATCATCATGCATGTATAAGCCAATTTCTTGTCAAATATATACATATGGCTGATGGATTGATTAAACTTGGACAAATTCCTGCACATATAATGATTTGAATTTTCTTTTTCTTTTTTTGGAATTCTTTTATGATGAAGGTCATATCGCTCTACGTGCCATACTTGATATATTTGAAGACTAAGCAAATGCTAGCAATTGTAAAGCCTAGCTACTTTTAAAAATGAGTCAATTTCTTGTCAAATATATATATATATATATATATATATATATAGGTGATTGATTAAACTTGGACAAATTCATAAGCTTGAAACCGACTTCAAACTAACTCACAGCGACAACAATAAACTTCCGTTGAATGGAAAGTAACAAGTTATCCACACATGGGGTTTCTTGTCGTATGGTGCAATATATGTATGTATATTCACAGCACAAGTTGATGAGAACCAAAATATACATCTTGACTTCGCTTATATTAATTCCCAAAACTTTTAAAGACTAAGGAAGATGTGATTTTTGAACTGATAAGACTTGCAGTACTAAAAAGCTAGCTCAGCCATTCGATCATTTGTCAAAATGTTCTTTGTTTCTTTTTGTTTTGTTTTGTTTTTTTTTTTCCAGGTGCAACTTATCTAGTATTGTTGAAATTCATGGAATCAGTTAGGGTTGGGAAAAAAGTGAGGTGATTGTTGAAGATTCCCTGTTATCCACCCATGACTTCTACCTCTAAATTTCATTTTTAAATGTAGTTGTATTTCATATTTGATGCGTTTCTCCACCTCTCATTTCTTTTTTTCCAATAAAAGAAGAAAGAGGTGAAAGCAATCGAAGGTCAATTCATGTACACCATAAGCATGAATAGAAAAGGTGGAAATTAAGCTACTAGCTAGTTTATCAGCCATTGAAATAATATTGCATCAACTTTTTAGACATGATGATCACTTGAAATATTAATTGGTTTAGGAAGTCAAACAAGAGTTTATTTTGTCCTCAAAAAACGTTTAAGGTTTAACTCTAGTTAAGATTGGAAATTGAGCCTTGGTTTCATTGGTAATTAAAGAATTAAGTCCTGTTTTAAGCAGCATAAAGGTATTATAATTCCACAGTAGATGGCCTCCAAACTTCCAAGATTGGTTGTTTAGAAATGAAATTCCTTAGTCTCCAATGAAATTCTAGATACAGGTTCCATCCATGCATGCACGCACGCCATTTTTAATAAAACAGTTGAAGAAGAAAGCCCCATGTGGGGATCATTGAAAAACTATATATATATATATATTAGTCGTCAGTCCTCTCCATGATCAGATCAAAGGAACAAAAGCCTTAGAGTTCAATTTCTTTGGCTTAACCCATAAGTTACAGGATAACTTTGTTTTGGTACATAATCTCAGCATGAATTTGGACCTATATATATATAGATTTGTCATCATATGCTTCAGGGAAATTATACGGCATGTAGCATATATACATATGCTTTGAACAATTAATATGATCTATTTGTTAATGTTGAACTTGTAATTTCAGGATGAGGAGGAGAGTTGAATTTGGAGTATATATGATGTGGGAAACGGTTAATATAACCAACATGACGTGATAAGTTAGTTTGATACTCCAAATCCACAAGCTGCCCAAAACAGGGAAACCCAAAAACAAGGCATGCAGCTGCATTTATCACCACATATATTTGCATCTTTTCACACCCCAAGAAACATCGGTTTGCTTCTTGTGTTTGTGTTTGAGACTGCTGGAAACATGGGCTAGGTATTTTCCTTTTTTCTTTCTTTTTTATTTTTTTGGTTACGTGGGCTACCTAGTTTCTAAATGGAGTAATCTTATTTGATCTATTGGATAATCGATGAAGAAACTTCATGGAGTATGCATATATGGGACTGAGAATGGCCAAATTAAGCTAATAGAGACAAGACTTCACTACAATTATAGGTTGGTCCAAGATTATATATCCTAAAATTAGAAAAGTCCACAACTTGTAATATTTATGCCTTAATGAATATTTGATCCGTTAGATCAATGATAGTTTTGGTCTTAACAGTAAGGAAATAGAGTTTTGTTTTCTAGTAAGATGATTCATATTGAGATTGATACATTATTTCAAGAAAATAATTTTCTCACAACCTCCTTTATAATTTAAACGGATGATGATGAAATAGAGAGCATATCCTCTTATTAAGTAGCTACATTAAGTCGTAAAAAAATATATATATCAACTAACAAGTTATATTTAATACAAAAATAAACAAAATTGATTTCTTAATGAATTTTTTTTATCAATATATAGAATTCAAATTTAGGAATTATTCTTGTTTAAAGGAGTGAAACATTTTCACTCCCACATCGAATATGATTAGTTCTTAATTCCCATATTATAGCACGTATATAAAATTAGCTATGTATATTTAATTAGTTATGAAAATTGAGAAAAAGAAAAGAAAAAAGGTTTATAATATTATAACTTTTCTTTAGTGTGAGTCTAAACCGATCACATGATCATACGTAATAGTGGGACAATTGAGATAATAAAAAACTTACAAGGAAACAAAGGAAACCAGTGGGGACAAAAAAAAAAAAAAAAATTTAAGGAGACTTTCTAACAAATGGTGTCATCGTATTCTCTTTGATGTTCTTTCATGGAGTCTACAAATTAATCCACAAAAATAGCAGTTTAAGTAGATTCCAAAAGTGCCTTTTTCATTTTTAAGGGAAGATAAAGCCATATATGTTGCTTCTTTTTTTTTTTTAATATAAATAATAAATTAATCAAACAAAAAGATATATAAAGTTTAGTGATATGGGGAGAAATACAAAAAGAAGTAATAAAAATATATTTATACGTCAAGAAAAAGAAAAACATAACAAAATAAAAAATGGAGGCTGCGTTGTTCTTGTGTTTAAAGCAAAGAGGTTGCCATAACACAGGAAAAGATGAGGAAATACAGATGATGGTGGCTACGTACGGTGCATGGGATAGATAGATGTTTAATTTGTTTGTCACGTTTACGGTGAACCCCTTTCTCTCTCTTTTTTTATTAATTAAATTTATTTATTTTATATTACATCAAATTCTTTTTTTATTCAATGGTTATGAATATTTTGGAACCAATTTATACATTAATATTTTTATATTCAACTAATTAATAAAAACTCTTATTTCAAACAACTTTTTGCATAGTACTTTTTTTTTATTTATGAAAATTGATATAAATTTTAAAAAAAATGGAATAATGAGATTTAAATTTATAACCATTTGGTTAATCATATCAAAAAAATTATCAGCTAAAATATTAAGGTTTTAAAAATAATTTTATATTATTTTCTAATACTAATCAATAAAACCGTGGCAAGAAAACTTAAGCTATATATCTTATATATAGTATAAATTATTTTTAAACTCTCATTTATTAGGTTAAACTAATTGAAGACCGAATGAAGTTTTTTGTCATATCTCATAAGAGAAAAATAATTACTACTGTACCCAATTGGATTTTCAACTATTTATCAAAACATAATTTATTATATCATCCCCTACGCATATTCAGTTATTCTTGAAACTATCCCTCTCTTATAAAACATAAAAACGCATATATTTGAAAAAGAGTTGTAATTAATTAAATAAATAAATGAAGATAAGGTTGGAAAGGGAACAAACACTTTGAAACATCATTATAACAGAGACACGTAGACAATGAAAATAGTGTATTAATCTTGGTTAATAAAAAAGTTGGTCTGAAAATACATTCTTAATTACTTGTAAATATTAATAAAATACGATAAAGAAGAGGGAGCACTAATTAATTTTATAGCTGGTCCTGATCCATAGTCCAATTATTTTTTAGGACGGGAATAGCAAAGACTTGCAGATTTTCATCATTCGTTAAAGACAGAAAACGTAAGATTCATGTGTACATGTTAAGGAATTAACATGGGATCATGACATAGATATAATGTGAACATGATATTAATATCCTTAAGTTCTTCACATGGAGGAGGTTTCTGCATGTTGTGTACAAATGGCAAAGTGTAAATTAACCATAAATGCAAGCCATCTACTTAATTGCTGCATGCAAGTAAGGCCATTTCACCTTTCAAAGGCCAAACTCCCTCCTCTTTAATTTCGGCGCAGCTTTATTTTGGATTTTATTCTTCCATTTAAAACTCCATCAATTCATTCCTTTCTTCACCTATAAATACCCCATTAAACCTTAACCCTTTCACCTCCACCTCCACTCCCTCAACTCTTCAACTTTCTCCCCTTTTCTCTCTCAACTTGAACAAAAAATGGCAAACACAATGAGCACTTGTTTCCTTCTTGCACTTCTTGTCGTTCTCTTCACTTCGTATTCAGCAAGGGCAGCACAATACAATGTCCTGAATTATGGGGCAAAACCAGATGGGATAACTGACTCAACCAAAGCCTTTCTTTCTGCTTGGACACAAGCTTGTGGCTCTATTAGTCCATCTACCATTTATGTCCCATCCGGCAGGTTCTTTCTACGAAATGTACAATTCAGTGGTCCATGCAAGAATAATGCAATCGTTGTACGAATAGATGGCACACTTCTGGCTCCCACCGATTATCGGGTTATCGGTAATGCTGGAAACTGGATTTTCTTTCAGCATGTTGATGGGGTTACAGTTTCTGGTGGGATACTTGATGGACATGGTTCTGGTTTGTGGGATTGCAAGCAATCTGGCAAGAACTGCCCAAGTGGTGCCACGGTATGCTCAATATTTGTGACCACTTTTTTTTTCTTTTTTATTCTTTAGGGCAAGACTCGAAGTTTGAAACGTAATCATCTCCTCTACTAGCCTATTCTTCAAGCATAGTTAAATATTGTGACCCTTTTTTTACTAGAGAAATAGCTTTGTCTTCTTGGGACTAGAATGGTCCATGTTCACTTAAGCCCTAATTATTGCATGAGTTAATAAAGAATGTCAAAGGTCAACTATTAATTAAGCACTAACCGTTCTCTGGGCGGTCCAGCTCTAGAGCCTTAATTACGTTTCAAGTACATTTAAATCCATCATTAATGGTTATTCTAAATATTGTGGTTTGTGTGCATGTGCAGACACTGGGTTTTTCCAATTCAAACAACATAGTTATAAGTGGACTACATTCACTGAATAGCCAAATGTACCACATTGTTGTCAATGGTTGCCACAATGTGATAATTCAAGGGGTCAAGATCACTGCCTTCGGGAACAGTCCGAACACCGATGGCATTCATGTGCAACTTTCGAGCGGTGTCACGATCTTGAACTCGAAGATCGGAACTGGCGATGATTGTGTCTCGGTTGGTGCCGGAACCACCAATTTGTGGATTGAAAATGTTGTATGTGGCCCTGGCCATGGAATCAGGTAATAAACACACACACATATATATAATACTATAGCGATACATCTGGCTATAAATGTGGGACTCAACGTGAGTGCGTCTGTCTGTGGTTTCTTGCAGCATTGGAAGTTTGGGAAAGGACCTTAAAGAGCCAGGGGTGCAAAACGTGACAGTTAAAACTGTTACATTTATTGGTACTCAAAACGGATTGAGAATCAAGACATGGGGGAGGCCAAGCAATGGTTTTGTAAGGAATGTTCTTTTCCAGCATGTCGTCATGACCACCGTTCAAAATCCCATTGTCATCGATCAAAACTATTGTCCTGACAACAAAGATTGTCCCGGGCAAGCTTCTGGGGTTAAAATTAGTGGTGTAACGTACCAGGACGTCCATGGAACATCAGCAACAAAAGTGGCAGTGAACTTCGATTGTAGTAAAAAGTCTCCATGCACTAGTATCAAAATGGAGGATGTGAAGCTAACTTACAAGAATCAACCAGCTGGTGCTTCTTGTAACAATGCTGATGGAACAGCTTCCGGTTTCATCCAGCCTAGTAGCTGTCTTTAATTTGTAAACTACCAATACTAGAAGCAAACCATGTCATGCATGCTAGCTATTAGATTAGCTAGGAAGTTAATTAGTGCTTGAGCCTGTGGCGTTTCCTGGTCTTTGAGGTTGCTTTAGAGCCCGGCCCTGCAATTGTTTTTATGGTGACAAGAATATACCATCATTGTCTGATTATATGAATGAATATATCTCAAGTAACAATAAAATCCAATATTTTTCTCTTGGGGCCAAAATTATATTCCAGAAGAGATCAGAGCATGTCTTTCTGATTCAAACGTAATGCAATTGCTGTACATGGAGAGGACTATGAGAATCCAAATAGACAAAAAGCTTACATCTGTGTCTCTCTCTGTTTTCTTTTGCTCTCTGATTCTTCCTAAGGCAATACTTGAGAAACAGAACAAAGGAACAAGAGAAACATTGACATCACAAACTTTCTTCACAGATGAAATAAGTTGTCAAAAATTAACTGTCAGGAAAAACAACAACAACAACAACAAAAAACAGGAAGCAGAAAGTTGCGCAAATTAGAGGTCAAAATCAGAACAGTCTTGAAACTTGGAAGATTGGTATTTGGTAGAACAGGCAAATGGCAATCTCATAATCATATGCAGCTTCACATTAGGATTTTTTTTTCTGAATTAATTCCACTTGGAATAGCGAATGCCCAGTGGATCATCAACGTAAAATTATTTCTCAACTAAGTTCACTTCAAATGGTTGAGATGCTAGTCTAGAATTGTGCAATCCAATCTCTGACAGCGAATTGTAGCTTTCTTTCGAGTAAAAGATGGTCATCTTCTTCAAGCCTTTTGCAACCTTGCACATATTTTTCAAAAACCCAACCTTATGACCTTTTCCATTCAGCTCTATTTCTATTGCATTCAGTTGGTGACAAATTAGGTTATGAAATCCTCCATGCTGTTTATAGTCCTCCAATGCCTTCAACTTCAACTCCTAAAATAAAAAAGAAAACATGGGGTGAGGCAACCTGTAGGCTCTGTGTGTGTGTGAGTGAAAGAGAGAGAGAGAGAGAGTATTGTCATCACCTCAAATACTGACCATATCATAGTCAGGTTCAAATCTACTTGCGGTACAACTTAAGAGATAAAGTTTCTAACTTAGGTGACCGCATGATAACAGAAGCTAAAACTGGAAAGTGATAGTCCTTCAAACAACCATTCACTGTAATGACCAAGTGCTGAAGATAATCAAACCCAAACGACAAGTGATTGTGAAGGTACTGAGTCTGCAGCATCGCAATAAATATTTAGGAAGTATGCTACAGATGCATTTGATATAACTTATATGTGCCATTTATCCCAAAAAAAAAAAAAAAAAAAAGGGGGACTCTGATCACGATGAAAGAGTACCTCCAGAACATCACTGTTAAGTTGCAGAGTTCTCGAACAACACACTCCCTGAAGAAGATCGGTTATGCGATTGCGAGTGGTTGGTTCGTCAACATAGCTATCAGAAATGCCAACACTGATATTGGCATTCTTTAGAAATCTGAACTGACTCAAGTAAATGTTATTTGCAGTAGCAGCCTTCCATTTCAAATCTTGGAGATTGGGGGCATCAATCTTCATTGTGCATAGATATCCAGCAAATAAGGAATGCAAGTCCAAATATAACTTCTGAAGACCCTGGGTTGAAATATCAATAACCCAGAGATTATATGGCAGATCAATCAATGTTAATTCTTCAAGAGAAGGACTAATGACACTTAGGTGTCGTACATCATCCAGATTTACAATAGTTAGCCTCTTAAGTGATGGGCAAGCAGTCGAAATCAATTTCTTCAGAGACCTTTCAGAATCAGGACCTGCCATCGTCGTCAGAGTTAGGTCCTCGAGTAAAACAAAAGCTCCAGTAGGCTCTTTGAGACATTTATGGTGCAGATCTAACTTTAGGACTCTCAAGGTTTCGGAACTAAAGACACACTTGGGCAACTCAAAGATTGGAATTTCCTCCAACTCTAAGAATGGACATTCGGTTAACCCAACCTCAAGGTCAATCTCCTGAGCTTGACAACTTAATGCTACATTAACCCATCTATCAATAAGAGTTACATCTACATCACAATTATCTTTGAAGCAAGCCCAGTGAAGGCAAAGGCAGCGTATCTCCAATCCATTTCGCTGACTCAGCAGTCTATCCACATGGTCACTAAATTGCTTACACAAATTCGGAGGACCATCATATGAACAAGTCAATTTAAACTTGAGATATGGGCTGCAGATAAACATTTGTCTGCATCTTCTAGATACTGCACCAATTCGAGCAATGTCATTCATTTCAAGGAAGGAGAAAATATGGTGAATGATCGGTTCTGGCAGATCAGAGAAACGATCCCACCTCTGATCAGTATTAATACATTGTGTTGTTGTTTGTCTTTCTTGACCAACTGACTGAACCATAACTGCAGTAGTTGTCTATCTATGACGTTGAACAACAGCCAAATGAGATATCTGTCAAAAACTAATACCAAGTGAATAATCGCCATCATATTTGCATAAAATAAAACCATAAAGTTATCTACTCATCTAAGAAGATGACTAGTTCCAAATCAAGATACGTATCTAAGCAAAACTAATACCGGATGAGTGAACAGTTATCAAAATATCAATCCAAAATAAAACTAACAGACAAAGGAAAGAATGCTTGTCTTCATAAAGGAAAAAAAAAAAAACAAAATCAGTGTCACGCTTCAAAACCAGGGCAAACAAGTTAGAACCGTCAATCAAACCAGTTTGTACAAACAACCATTCTTTTGCATTGACTACATATACAGAAAATTACAAGCAACAATAATACAAAATCAAACAGAACTAGAGAATAAATATGTAACAATTTTTAGCTGCAAATGAGACTGACATAATGAGAATCTATGAAGAAACTCGGACTTGTCTTCTGAAATTGATCCTATGCAAAATACTAGGAAAGTCGAGGGAATGAGCTACTTTAGCTGAGGGAGTGATAGTTACATGGAATAAATTCATTAAACCTGTTTGCTCAAGGCATTAGTCATAAAAGTTAACTTAAGGTGTGCCCCGGGCAACAACAGAAACCAATAAGATCAACTACTGCAAGAGCGATAAAGGCATTGCAAAGTCAAGACTAAGCACCGCAAAGGACACCAATATCAACAGGAAGCGCATAACATCATATACACCAATATCAACACCACCACAATAAAACAAGGCAGCATCAAGCACTACTCAACCCAACCACAATAATAGAACAGAATTAACCGAAACGAAACCTTAAAAGGGAAACACATGATCATAACATCACAGAAGCTATCAATAGAAAACATAACAAACCAGAAAGTCATTCACAAAATGATATAATCCAGACCAAGGACCTATTGGAAAATGTTACATGGATAACTTTGCAACTTTTTATTAGCACCTAGGGGCCAAACAAAACTTTTAACAACCACATGGACTAAACTTAATTTCTTCCATCTTCAACCTCTTGACTCCATATCCGCAAATAACACCCAAAGCTCAATTTCCCAACCATATTTATCCAGCTCAAATCATCCCCACAACCCAAGACTGAAAGAACCCATTAAATATGACAAGAACAATAACCCAAAAGCTACAAGAATTGCAAAATCGAATTACAACGTAAAAGTCCAGCAAAGTAGGCAAGTCTTACCTTGTGGGTTTCGTTTTCAGAGTCCCAAAAATCATTCAAAATAACATTCTCACTCTCACTGTCTCCGCCGTGGCCCTCTCCAGTGGCTATATGTCACGTACAGACAACATGTTATAAATAGTTTTAGTTTTGAAAGGGTAAACTTTAATAGCCCTCAAGTTTAGATACTTTATCAATCAACTTCCAAAACTTAATTTTGATTCAATATGAAAACTTCTACTTAAATTGCCAGGAAGCATACGGACTTGGGGTTTGATGCAGGAGACTTGCTTTATGACAGACATTTCATTGGAAACTTCAAAACAACCTCAGAAGTGAGGACAGGGCTCTCAAAAAGTCTTTCAACTGCAATCAATGGCTCCCACAAAAATGTATTTCCTAGCTTCCCGGAAATTCTTGGGTAGACTTAGTGCTACTGCTAGCGTTTCCTAGGGGACTTGACTTAAACCAAAGCTTGAGCTTGACTAATAAAATCATAGTCATTAATCCCTCATTTTACTGGAGGGTCACACCGTTACTTTTTCTTTTTCCTTTTTTTTTTTTCCGACAATCTCTTACAAAATAAAATTTAATTAGAAATATTTTTAAAAAAATATATCACTAAAAATTTTAAATAAATAAATATTTTAAGACAGATATAAATATAAAAATAAACAATCTTTTTAAGAGGAACGAGTATAAAGAAAATATTAAATAAAACATCATATTTATCGTTACATAAAAGGATTTTAATATTGTCATAATATGTAAAAAAAAAATAGAAATTTGTTGTTTTAACTTTGAAAATACTAAAAATTAGATATAATAAAAAATCTAGAAAAAGAAAAAAGAAAAAACACATGTAATGTAACATTTCAGAACGAAATGGTACCAAGATGACATAAATTTGTTGAGATATGTAAGAAAATTAGAATATATATTTTTTTTTTTGGTAAGATATGATTTCTAACAAAATGCCACCATAGTCCCTTTTTGTATGCTCAAATTGCTATTTGCAAGGACAAAACCCTTGTCTCTAGTATGCAAGTTTATAAGGCTAGATGTGGATTTTAATGCAGAACGAAAGAAAACTTGTCTTGTTGATAAGAAATTTTATAATACACAATGAATGATTAATGATATATATAGTAATTATTTTATAAATTTATTTAAAAAATATATATATATTAAATTATATTCGAATTTATCAAAAGTGATAAAAAAAATTTATATTTTACTTAATTTTTTTAATTTTTTTCTCTTATTTTTTTTATCTTTCTTCTCAAAATGATTCATAAAATAAATATTTTACATCTCATTAGATATTTTTAAAATAATATAAAATTTCTATTTGTTGACTGATTAATCAATCCATATCTTATGAGAGGCTCTCTCTTTCAGACATAAATGTTGACGCAGTTTTCAACTTCCTAATACCTTTGACGAACTTGGAAGTTTAATTTGTACGAAGGAAACGCCAAATTTTTTTTGGTGAACTCTGACGTGTCCTCGTTATTAATTTCCAAACCCCTTTCTTTTGGACACACTTCAAAACAGACTCTGGAGTCTGCCAAACGGAGAAGACTTGCCTTTGATGACTTGAAACTATTCAAGTACTATCTTATTTAAAAGCTTAAGCTGATAGATAAGGTCTTAGTGAGATTTGAACTCGAGGCTCAAGGTCAATCAAGCTCGATATCATATTAAAGAACTATCTCACTTAAAAACTTAAGCTGATAAGTGAGATCCTAGAATATAATTTATACTATTCTCTACGTATCTCAACTTCATTTTCATCTGAGGCTCTCACTTTCTGATATAAATGGCGACGCGGTTTTCAACTTCCAATTTCCTACACTAAACTTTTCACGAACTTAGTAATTAATAAATGGGGGCTCTGAGAGAAAAATATATGTTTTAAAAATACAAAGCCCCTTGGAAAGCTTTCACATTTCCTGATATTCTTTAATTTGAATTGAAGCTGCATATGTACAAGCAAGCAAACCTGCAACCTCCTGATTACTGTCTATTTCAACTCCTGGACTTTGCTCATCCCTGCTTCTTGGAAATTCCAATTGTGAATCTCTTCGTGTTTGCTTTTTGTTGAGTATCAATGGCTCTTAAAGCAATTCTTGCCATTCTTTTGATTCATATCCTTAGTGTTGCCGGCAATGAATACATTTCTTTTCGAGAGAACCACGGGAGTCAAGATAAACATTGGACAAAGTTGGGTTCTTCATTCAAAAGTGGGTTTGAAATTGGTTTTGCATTTTCTTCAGTTTCCATTTTAACTATTTTCGTTTCTTATTGCGTGCCTTGGACTCGTCTCAACAAGAGGAAAAGGAACAAGGTGATGATGAAGTCCCCATTGATGGCATCTTTGATTGCAAGGCAAGATAATAAGAGAAAAGAAGCCAACATGCAGGTATCCCCATAAGATTTTCATTTCATCATATATTTGGTTTCTTGCCATATCTAGTTAGATCTCAATTATGTTCATGTTTAATTACTATCGGTCGTCAATTATTTCCTTCACATGCAGATTTCAAAGTTTGAGAAGTTGATTAGAAGAGTAAGTTTCGAGGCAATAAAGAAAGCAACTGCCAGTTTTGACAGAGACAACGTCATTGGAGTTGGAAAGACCGGGACAACGTATAAGGCAGCTCTCCCATATGATTGTTTCACTGCAGTGAAGAGGTTGCATAACAATTCACATTCAGAAAACCGATTCATGTCTGAGTTAATGATGCTGAGCAGGTTTAGACATATCAACCTAGTTCCACTCTTGGGGATCTGCACGGAATCAAGGGAAAGGATTTTGGTATACAAATATATGCCAAATGGTAATCTTTACGATTGGTTACATAACTTACGTCCTGTAAAAGGTGAGACTAAGATCTTGGACTGGCATATCAGGGTTAAAATCACGCTCGGGATAGCAAGAGGGTTGTCATGGCTCCACAGTTATAATGCTTTCCAAATAGCTCACCTTAAGATAAGCTCAAGTTGTATCTTGCTTGACAAATATTTTGAGCCCAAGTTATCAAATTTTGGAGAGGCAATGCTGATTAGTTGCACGGACAATTCCTCCGTAAATAGCAAGTTTTGGGAGACGGCATTTGTTAAGGAAGATGTACGTGGATTTGGAGTTGTTCTTCTTGAGTTGATTACTGGGGTGGATTTTAGCAACATGACTGATTCCTCAAACAGTATTCTCAATGAACGGATTGATCATCTCTTGAGCAGTTCTAATTCTTACAGCGTCATAGATAAGTCTCTGATTGGGCAAGGATTCGACGCTGAGATATTTCAGATGCTTAAAGTTGCTTGCAACTGTGTTGATTCCATTCCAGATCGAAGACCGACAATGCTTCAAGTGTACGAAGACATAAAAGCAATAAGGGAGAGATGTGAGCAAGTTAATGATTCTGATATGCTAATGCAACCTGAAGTTTTGCCTGTTCCCTCAGAAAACAGCACTGTTGAGATTGAAATAGCAGAGTCCTGATGGAAACATGCAAGCGAATTTCAGCAAGTCCACATGTTTCAATTTGCTATCATGTTTTGGTATAATAAACCAATATGTAACAGACAACATAATTGTGTCTGAGAATAAATTACCATAGATTTTACAAACAGAACTGCAAACTTATCTTGTCTCGCATAGATTAACCTACTTTTTTGCTTGTACATGGACATGAATTTAGGCTGGGTAGTGAGGAAGCATACATTTTCTCTAGTGGGGACCAGAATGTCCATAGACTTGGGATTTTGACTTAAAAGAAGTAGACTAATCAATATGACACCATTTTCCTTCTCCGCGTGGAAAATTTCTACTTAAAATGCAATTTATAAGGAAGCAACCATCCTTTCTCAATTTCCATATTTATTTGCTCATTTTATTAAAACATTTATTTTCGTAAAAAAAAATATATATATTTTTCAATACGGTTGATATTATTGGTTGTCCGGATAATGGGATACCAGAATTTGTATCAGTCAATGACAGGGCCCAGGAGAAGGAAGGGACCATTGCGATGCCTAGGCCCAAAAAAGAAATACTACTATAGCCTTCTGTTGTCTCTTGCTAAGGCCCTAAGCAGCAGAACAATTCATATTTCCTTCCAATTTATTATATTATGATTTTATTATTCATTTTTTAAAATTTATATGTGGTATGACTCAAGATATATTCTATAATTTATAATTAAAACATAATTAATATATTTTTTTATTAATTTTTATTATAAGTTATTATCCAAAAAATTACGGGTTGGATTCTTAACAAATATTATAAAACTAACCATTGATGCATATCGAGCTTATAAATAAAAAAAAAACCTTTATGGGTTTTGTGTGCTGCTCTATTTTTTTATAATACATAAAGAGTAGCAATTGGTATATACCGTAGTTATTTATCGAGCACATTTTGAGGAGAGAAATAATTTTCTTACTATAATATCATATTTTCTTATTATTGCAAGTTTGCTTGCTTTTATATATATATATATATATATATATATATATATAACTTCAAGTTAAGAATATCAGGAAATGCAATGTTTTTCCAAAACAAGTAGAGACAAAACAACGAAAGATTTATCTCTCCGAGTACATTTGTTAATTTCCTAGTTCCTGAAACGCATCAGTGTGGAAAATTAGGAAGTTGAAAACCGCGTCATCATTTACGAGAAAGGGGGAGCCTCTGACGTAGAATATGGGTCGATTAGTCGGTAGTCAATCACCTTGAAAATTAACGAATGGGCTCTTAGAGAAAAATCTTATTTCTCATTTTAAGGGTTATTCCATTCAAAGTTTCTATCTATCACTCTCTCGCTATATTGTCCAGTCCTTTCAAACTCTCATAATACCCAAATGGCTAAGGTAATTGTTATCTGCTCCTCTTATGCTCTCCTTGTTAGCCCATTTCACCATTACTGGTACTGATAAAACTCTCATATCCTTGTTAGTCCTTTAATAAACTCTCATACCACATGCATACATGTTTCTAGAAGAATTCTTGATTATTCGGATCTTAATCAAATCATATGTACTGGTATAGAGGTGAAGAGATGGATTTTAACAAATTTCATGCTGCGTAAGTATCTCTGCCTCATCAACCAGGTCACGTCTCTCCTCCCTTATTGCTTTTATGTCGTTGTACGCTTGAAGCATTGTTGGTCTTTGATCTGGAATGGTATCAACACAGTTGCATGCAACTTTAAGAACCTGAAAGATCTCAGCATCAAATCCTTTCCCAATCAGAGATTTATCGATGGCGTCAGAAAAATCAGGCCTATTGAGAAAATCAATAAGCCAGTCATTAAGACTACCGCTCGAGGAATCAGTCATTTTGCTAAAATCTACCCCAGTAATCAGTTCGAGGAGCACAACCCCCAATCCATACACATCTTCCTTGGCAAAAATTGTGTCCCAAGACTCACCATTTACATAGGAAGTGCTAGTTGGACTAATGATTATTGCCTCCCCAAAATTTGATAACTTGGGCTCGAAATTCTGATCAAGTAGGACGCACTTTGAGCTTATGTTAAGATGGATAACTCGGACAGCACTACTGCAGTCCTGATGAAGCCATGCCAAGCCTCTTGCTAACCCGATGGCAACTTTAAACCTCACATCCCATTCCATGATCTTTGTTTGGCCTTCCATCGGATGTAGCCAATCATATAGGTTAGCATTTGGCATATATTTGTAGACCAAAAGCATATATTTTGATGTGATACAAAATCCCAGAAGTGGAAGTAAGTTGACATGTCTCAATATACCAAGTGTCTTCAACTCTAATATGAATTGCTCCTCGAAGAATTGCGAGTTGTCTAATTTCTTCACTGCAAGGAGATAACCGTTAGGCAAAGCTGCTTTGTACAGCATCCCCATCTTTCCCTGCCCAATGACATTGTGTTTGCTGAAAGTATTCGTTGCATCATTAAGATCTTTGTAGCCCATTCTTGGAACCATCTTCTCCAACATAGAAATCTGATGACACAATTCCCAATCCATTAGTATGCTAATGAAGACATATGCGTCTACATTGAAACTGAAGCAGGTTGTAGAATTTAGGACTATCTATAGATAAAGAAATCATGTAACTGCAGTTGAAAATTGGACTGCTTGAATATCAAACTCACAAGAGAGATTTAGAAATGACAGAACAAAAAGAAGAGCAAAAACTCCTACAATAAATTTCAAAAGCAACCACTCAGATGTTTTATTTCAAACCCCAGAGTTTATATACACAGAATTATAGTGCGTACCTCTTTGCCTCCATGTATGAACTCCACAGTTGGTGAACCTCTTATATTATCAGCTTCTTTTCGGTTCTTCCTCATCATCAGCATCGCCACCATTGGTATCCTGATCATCTTATTCCTCCTCTTGAGACGCACCCATGGCACACAGCAGGACAGAAAACCAACTATGATTGAAACAGCAAAAACAGTATAACCAGCCACAAATCCAGTTTTGAAAGATGAATAAAATTCGTTTCTATGCCGTTTGCAGGGTCCTAAAGGCCCTCCACATAGGCCAAGGTTGTTTGTATAATTCGCATTTACGGATGAGTCTGCTTTAACAAATTCAGGCACTGGACCTGACAAGAAATTGTCCGCAACACTGAAGCTCTTGAGTCGGTCGAGCAGGGCAATTTGCGGTGGGATATTACCTATTAGTTGGTTATGGTCTAGTTTTAGAACATTTAAAAAAGTGCAATTGGCAATACTTGATGGGATTTCACCAGAAAAGTGGTTGAAGGATAGATCAAGGCTAGTGAGGAATGGTAGCCTTTTAGAGATGTCAGATGGAATTGGTCCCTGAAGCTCATTACCTGAAAGGTCCAAACCTACTATGCTTGTGCAGTTTTCCAATCCAGGAGGGAACTGGCCCTTGAGCCCGAGTGTCAGAAAGTTTGAGATTTAAGACTTTGTTCTCAACAGGATTGCCAGCATTCGACTCCCCTAAAGCCACAGATGAAACCCTCTGCAGGATTGGTGAAGTCCCATGAAGAGAAGTAATCATAAGGGTCTTCCAAGGAATCCTTGATAGATTTCAAGCAATCAATATCACTCTTTGTTGCACTACTTACACAAAAAATACACAACAAGGAGCATAAAACATTGGAGAGAAAGACTGTATGAGCTCCACGTTCATGGCCATAACTGGGGAGTTTGTGGCAGGTAAAATTGTTTACAATACAATTACAACACATACACGACCAGAACATAAATAAATGAGTAGCAGAGACCTAGAAAAGTTCTGTTTGACTCTTGAGGTTGCTCAGTTTCTAAAAATAAATGGTAATAGAAGACTAGCTAGCTAGGTTGGGAATTAATTAAGACCTAGAAAGCCATGTCCTAATTTCAATCATAGACAAAAAAAAAAAAAAAAAAAAAAAGAGATCAAATATTAATTTGAACGAAATATATATAAATTGACCAATAGATCATTCTTTAGGTAAAAAGAAAAAAGAAAACCAAGGGATCATATTGACCGCCAACTCAAGCCTAAAGATTTAAGCAAAAAATGGTAGCTTTTTGTAGCATTGGTGTGTGTGACTCTATAATATAGAATAGATGAGACAATTTTGGAACTTCCAATTTAATCATAAAGAATGGTTTAGATGAACTTAGCACTTCCTTCTGTGATTTTGTTGGGTAAAAATAATAATAAAAAAAAAAAATCAATCAATCCTAGCTTAGCTAATAATATAGGAACCTCATGTACAATATAGATTGAATAGTCAGTCAACAAGATAAGTTCTTTTTCTTTTCTGCATTAAAGTCCACATCTAGCTCTACAAATCTACTAGATAGAGACAAGGGTTACTTCCTAGGAAATTGCAATTGGAGCCGAAAAAAGAAACGTGGTGGCATTTTGTTAGAAATAATGTCATGTCATGTCATATCATATCATATCATGTGTAGTACTCATCTCAGTAGAATAAACAATAGTGAAAAATACGATGATTTCTTTTCTTTTCTTTTCTTTTCTTTTTTATAGAAAAAATAAATGGTTTTATAAAATCAGCAAATAAAAATGGAATCTGAGAATGAAATAAATTTGATTTCAAATTTTAAAAAATGGATTAGCTGAGTCCAGGAGTTGAAATAGACGGTAATCAGGAGGTCGTTGCAGGTTTGCTTCCCTTTTTTTTTTTTTAAAAAAAAACTATTTTTTGGATTAAATCAATGCTAAAATATATCTAATCTTTGGTGGCTTTTTACAACAAATCAACTCATGCTTAGTACTATAAAATTAAAATTAATTTTGACTAATTATCTGTGAATAATCAAAATTAAATTTTAATTTTAATCGAAACAAAATAATTTTTTTTTATCGTTAGACTATATTTTTTATTCGTCGTAGGTTTGCTTGCTTCTGTATACGCTGCTTCAAATTAAGAATATTAGGAAACGTAAAGGAAGTTGAAACAGCGTCAGCATTTCTATAAGAGAAAGTGAGAGCCTCACATATAATATGGATTCATTACTTGGTCAACACGACAAATCTTCATCTGTTCTTCATTAACTAGAAAATTAACAAACTGACGTGTTGTCTCTACTTGTTTTGGTCATTGCTTGCTTAAAATCAACTTTATTTTTATTTTTTTATTAGAAAAACTAATTTAACAGTGAAAAATGGTATTGAAAGGGACGTTAATTGATTGTAAAGAAACAAAATTTGTTGGACTTAGCTGTTTGTAACTAAATGAAATGAGTGATGAAAAATGTCTTTAAAACAAGAAATTTTTGAGAATCTAGTTCTATGTTGTGTTGAAGCAACATTAACGTTATTTTTTTTTTATTGTTTCTATTTCTCTTTTTTTTTAATTTTACTTTTCAAATTTTTACAGCCTTATATATAATAATAATAATAATTTTGAACAAGATTTTTTTGCTAGACGGTAATATAAAACAAAATGTTTGTTGATATCGATCAAAATAGTATTTAACTGTCTTAAGTGACGAAACGTACTCAAATAAAAAAAAAATTCAGATGTTAGTCATTCAAAGAGGAAAAATAAAAAGTTAGACACTCAAACCCAATGAAAAAAATATAATCAAAGATTAGACCCTAAAATTGTAGTTTTCTCTAATTTTAAATGGGACTCACTTTTTTTGTCACATATTAGTACAAAATGATCATGTGCTCATTTCTACTACTAGTAAGAGCCAAGACAAACTTCTTCCTGCTAGAACATATTCACTTGTGGTTGTAAGTTTGCTAGCTTCTATATATATATACAACTTCAAGTTAAAGAATATCAGGAAATGCAATGGTTTTCCAAAACAAGTAGAGACAAACAACGAAAGATTTATCTCTCCGAGTACATTTGTTCTTGAACGGCCGCATTAGTGTGGAAAATTAGGAAGTTGAAAACCGCGTGATCATTTATAAGAAAGGGAGAGCCTCTCACGTAGAATATGGATTGATTAGTCGGTAGTCAGTCAACTTGAAAATTAACAAATGGGCTCTCAGAGAAAAAAAATCTTTTGGTGTGTTGTCCCTACTTGTTTTTGGTCATTGCTTGCCTGAGTCGATTTTATTTCATGTTTTTTTAAAAAAAAATAAGAAAGAAAAATCTAATTCAACAGTGAGAAATTGAATTGAAAGGGACTTTGGTTGTAAATAAATAAACTTCGTTAGATTTGGCTGTTTGTCATTAAAATTAAATGAGTAATGAAAAATGAAAAATGTCTTCAAAACAATAAACTTTTATTAACCTATTCTGATCCCGAGTTGAAGCAATATTAACATTATTTTCATTTTTCTTTTCTTTTTATTTCTACCATCTTATATATATTGTAACTTTGAGCAAGACTTTTTGCAATGTATTAATATAAATTGGAAATACATTAGTTGATATCGACCACGTTAGTATTTATGTGTGTCTCAAGTAATGAAATGTACTTAAATAAAAAAATTATTAAAAATTAATCACTTAAATAGATAAAATAAAAGTTTCGATGTTCAAACCAAAAAAATAATAATAATAATAATTAAAGGTTAAACACTAAAGTTAGAGTTTTCTTTAATTTAAAAAAGGAATAACTTTTTGTTATGTATTAGTACAAAATCGATTATGTGTTAGTTGATAAGGATTACATTAGTTTTTAATAGTTTCAACTGATAAAATGCGTTTAAATAAAATTTAAAATCAAATTTTTATCACTCAAATAATTAAATAAAAAAGTCAGACACTCAAACATAATAAAATTAAAGGTTGGATATTGAAATTGCATTTTTCTTAACTTGTTTTTCTACACTTCATGGAAATTCCAGTGTAGGGCCAACTATTTCGATGCAGAAGAAGTAGCTTTAAGAAATAAAACGAGACTTCAATTCAAATTTCCTTTGAAATAGTTGTGTTTCTCATTTCTCATTTTAAGGGTTATTCCAACCATTCCATTCGAAAGTTTCCACCTTTCATTCTCTCGCTATATTGTCCAGTCCTTTGATACATTCTCATATCCAAATGGCTAAGGTAATTGTTATCTCTACTTTTATGCTCTCCTTGTTAGCCCATTTCACCATTACTACTGGTACTGAGACTGATATTTTTTGCTTGAAGTCTATCAAAGATTCTGTGATAGACCCTTATGCTTACTTAGACGCTACGTGGGACTTCAACAACTATACAGAAGGTTTCATCTGTAGCTTTGTGGGAGTCGAATGCTGGCATCCTGATGAGGATAAAGTCTTAAATATCAGACTCGCTGATTTAAGGCTCAAAGGCCAGTTCCCTAGTGGATTTGAAAACTGTACAAGCTTAACGAGCTTAAACCTTTCTTACAATAAGTTTCAGGGACAGATTCCATCTGACATCTGTAAAAGGCTACCACATATTACGAGCCTTGATCTATCTTTCAACAATTTCTCTGGTGAAATCCCGGCAAGTATGGCCAATTGTACTTATCTGAATCATCTCATAATCAACAATAACCAACTGATAGGTCATATCCCACCACAAATTGGCCAGCTTAATAGGATCAAATTCTTTAATGTTTCTAACAATCTATTATCAGGGCAGGTGCCGAACTTTGTGAATGCCACTGTTTCAGAGGACAGTTATGCAAATAACGAAGGACTCTGTGGAGGGCCTTTGCAAAAATGCTCAACTCATCGAAGCAAATCCAAAATGAAGTTTGATTATTCATTCAAAAGTGGGTTTGTGATTGGTTATGCGGTCTGTGCGACTTCAGTTGTTGTTGTTTTTATATCCTACTGTGTGCCCTGGGTGTATGTGGGGAAGAAGAATAAGAAAATTACCGTATCAGAAATGGTGAAGTTGATGAGGAGGAGGAAGCATAATAGAACAGTAGATGATCAAGCAGACAATTCACCAACTGCGGAGCTCTTAGTGGAAGGAACTAAAGAGGTACTATTCTTTAAGATTGATAGTAGTTTTTGTTTTTTTGTTTATCTTCTTTGTCAAGTTTTGAGGAAAAGAAGTTCAATTATGTTCTTCAAATAACCGGATGCCTTTATCCGCTCAAGACCCTAAACTCTTGAAGCAGGTTCAATTGCAATGCACATAGGTTCTTCAGAGCTAATATGTTGATATTTCTATCCGCAGATTTCTTTATTGGAGAAGAGGGTTACAAGAATGAGCTACGCAGATCTTCATGATGCAACATATAATTTCAGCGAAAACAATATCATCGGAGAGGGGAAGATGGGGATACTTTACAAGGCATCATTGCCTAATGGTTATGTCCTTGCAGTGAAGAAGTTACATCACTCTCATTTCCTTGAAAAACAATTTATATCCGAGTTGAAGATACTTGGTTCATTCAGACATGTCAACTTACTTCCACTCCTTGGATTTTGCATTGAGTCGAAACAAAGGCTTCTGGTTTACAAATATATGCCAAATGGTAACCTTTATGATTGGCTACACCCCAAGGAGGAAGGTCAGGCAAAAATTATGAAATGGGGAGTGAGAGTTAAAGTTGCCATGGGATTAGCAAGAGGCTTGGCATGGCTTCATCAGAAATGTCATACCGTCAGAATAATCCACCTTGACATTAGCTCAAAATGCATATTACTTGATAAGAATTTCCAGCCCAAGTTATCAAATTTTGGAGAGGCAATGCTGATGAGTTCGACTGACAATTCCTCCGTAAATAGCGAGTTTTGGGAGATGGCATTTGTTAAGGAAGATGTACATGGATTTGGAGTTGTGCTTCTTGAGTTGATTACTGGGGTGGATTTTAGCAACATAGCTGATTCCTCAAACAGTATTCTTAATGAACGGATTGATCATCTTTTGAGTAGTTCTAATTCTTATAGCGTCATAGATAAGTCTCTGATTGGGCAAGGATTCGACACTGAGATATTACAGATGCTTAAAATTGCTCGCAACTGTGTTGATTCCATTCCAGGTCGAAGACCGACAATGCTTCAATTGTATGACGACATAAAAGCAATAAGGGAGAGATGTGAGCACGTTAATGATTCAGATATGCTAATGCAACCTCAAATTTTGCCTGTTCCTTCAGAAAACAGCACTGTTGAGATTGAAATAGCAGAGTCCTGATGGAAACATGCAGGCAAATGTTAGCATGTCTATTTGTTTCAATTTTCTGTCATGTTTTGGTATAATAAACCAATATGCAACAAGCAATATTGTACACAATGTAATTGTGTCTGATAATAAATTACCGTAACTTTTATGTTTATTAATCGATTACAATCAGAACTTTAAATTTATATTGTCTCCTATAGTTAGCCTACTTTTTATTTGTTCAGAGAAATGAATTTAGTCTGGATAGTGATAGGGCACCCGAAATACCACCTGACCATTTCACCAAATAATAAGTTATATTGGTTTGGATCAAGACTCTTGGACTTTGAGTTGAAGAAGCAGACTAATCACTCCATTTATTCTTGGTGAACTCAACGCGTTCTCATTGTTAATTTCCAAACTCCTTTCTTAAAACAGACTCAAATGTTCATATATATATGCATTATAGAGGTGAGGTATGCTACACATGACAAGATGACAAGATTTCCGTTTGCAATTTGTAAGGAAGCAACCACTCTTTCTAGTGGACAATCTTATAGCTGGATGTGGATTTTAACGGATCGAGAAGACTTGCTTCTGTTTGCTTCAAAGTAAATAGATCAATTCATAGTTTCTGTGTGAAATCATCTTTCAGGCTCTCCCTTTATAAAGTTGTAGATCTGTAAGATTTAGTCCACCCATGCTCTACACAAGGCTCTCACTTTCTTCTATAAATGATGACGCAGTTTGCAATGCTAATATTTTTCACCGTTAGAACACATAATTCAGATTGAATAATTAAAAAAAATGATTAATATATAAATTTACGAAAGTATCTTTCATTATAAAACTTAATTTTTTAAATGAAATTCAATATCAATTATGTCAAAAAATAATATTAATCATATCTTGAATTTTTGACTGAAAGTTTAAGCTTTTGAGCTGTAATGATATATCTCAGCTGTATTATAGCCAAAAGTTTAAGCTTTTGAGTTGTAATGGTGTATCATAGCTTTGAATGGAATTTCACCATGTATTACGGCCAAAAGTTTAAGCTTTTGAGTTGTAATAATATATCATAGCTTTGAATGGAATCTCACCATGTATCACAGCTTGTAGAACTTTTTGTCAACATAAGAAAGATATTAAATTTTTAATTTTTCTGATTTTTTTTTAATTATATGTAATCAAGTCTTTTTCATTCTAGCTAGTAATTAATTTTGGCCATATTAGACACACACGATACATACACGATCCGTTAAAATAGTGACTTGTATCCTGCAAAGCATGTGAAATTGTCCCACCATGCAGATTAAAAATGAAATAACAAAATATCCCCCGACCCAAATTAAAAAGAAAAGAAAATTTATTATCTTCCTAACATTGAAATCATCGAAATCTTGCGAGTGATAAACACTGAGAGATAGAAAGATTTTGAAAGAAAAAGGGAGTGATTTACGCCATGTCTATAAGGGGAAAATGGTGGGAATTTTAGGAGGGAAAGTGAGAGAGGAATGGAGGAAAAAAAAGTGCCAAATCTGCATCAATTTTTCACGGAATGTTCAAGACAGCGTGGCCCGGTGATTTTGCTGCGAACTTGCACAAATGTGCCAAATCTTTGGCATGGTATGGAAATTGCACAATTCTTTTGGGCATCTACTTTCAATTTCTTTTTTGACTTTGTTTCAGGGGCCATCTCTAAACATCAGGTTGTGGGCCATGTTGTAGGCTTTAAAATACAATATTTTTGTTCGAATTAAAAAATAAAAAATTATTTTAATAATAAAATAACACATAAGATTAAAAAGCTATCGGAAAGATCAAATCGCCCTAGCCCCATAGTTACTCTCCAGATTCCTCCTAGCTTAATGCCAATTTATCGACCAAATAGATGCAATTAATTTATCTGATATTTTTATGCAAATAAATTATCAATAAAACTAAAGTAAAACATAGTTTTACAACTCATTTACTATTTAAAATATTATTTACATACCTACAAATCATTATTTCTTTCATTATTTATGATATTTTTGTCACACTTTCGTCTTCAATTTTTCTATATATATATATATTTTTTTTAATTTTATATTTTAATTATATTATGATTTGATCTTATTTTTTTCAGTGTTTTTTGTTAATTACTTTTATTATTTAAAATTTATTGTTTTAATTTGTTATTTTTTTAAATTTTTCATCCAATTAATTTAAAATTATATTTATTAACGAGTTTTGATTTATTTTTCCGCATGCATGGATTTTAATATAAATTTTTAGAGCATGATTATTTTTTCTTTTGAATAATAGATTTAGATAATTTTTAAATTATAGTGGCATGATTAATATATATAATTTTTCTGAATTACATTTTTATATTAAAAGTGTATTTCAAATAATTGTTTCTTGATTTTTTATATTATTTTAAATTTACTACATTAATTTCTCTTTTTTAAAAAAATTCTCTCTCTTTTTTCTTTTTTCAATTTCAAACTTTGATTATATTGTGATTTGGTCCCATTTTGTTTTAGTGTTTTTTGTTAATTATTTTTACTATTTAAAATTTACTACTTTAATTTGTCATTTTAAAAAAAAATTATCATCTAATTAATTTAAAATTATATTTTCTGATAGTTTTAATTTATTTTTCTATATGTATGGATTTTGAAATAAATTTTTAGAACATGATTATTATTATTTTTGAAAGATAGATTTAGATAATTTTTAAATTACAGTGGCATGACATATATTTATAATTTGTGTAAAATATATTTTTAGATTAAAAGAGTTTTTCAAATAATTTTTTCTCTATTTTTTATTTTTTAAAAAATTTACTGCATTAATTTGTCATTTTTTAAAAAAACTCTCATCCAATTAATTTAAAACTATATTTACTGAAAATTTTGATTTATTTTCTATATGTATGAATTTTGGAATAAATTTTTAGAACATGTTTATTTTTTCTTTTGAAAAATAGATTTAGATAACTTTTAAATTATAGTGGCAAGATTAATATATATAATTTGTCTAAAATATTTTTTTAGATTAAAAGTGTATCTCAAATATTTTTTTCTCAATTTTTGTTTAGAAAAAAACTCAAATTATTTCATTAATAGTTGAAAGTCAAAATAATATAGTTTTTATTTTAATATTATTCATTCTTTTGTAAGTAAATATATTAAAATTAAATTCATATTTTTTCAAAAATCTATATTTTCATTAAAATTAAATAAAAAAATTATTTATTCAATTCTACATAAGTTTTTAGTAATTGTTATTTATGTTTTTTTTTGACACAATCTTATGAGATACTAAATCTTTTTTCAAAAAAAATTATTTAATTTTCCTTTTAGTTAATAATCAATGGATTAATAAGGATAAATCTTTTTTCTAAAGAAAAAAATAAAAAACACAAATAAGAAATAGTTAAATTAGGAAATTTTTTACTAAAAAATTAGAATTTTTTTCATATTTGATTTCATATATTTTTATACATTCACATCATAAACAGACTATCAAATTAAAATAATTTCTTTAAATGATTTATATATTTTATTCAATCCGTAGCGTAGACTATTTAACTACTAAAATCCTAGCTTTACCGAGTCCTTAAGATGGAATTAGTGCTTACTGCTTACAGCAAGTTTGGAACCGAGGTAGCCGCATAAGGCAATAATGGTGCTAACCCTTCTTCGATGCACTCTTTCGCCATATCCTATCTTTAGGACATTCAGGAAAGAAACAATAGTGACAAAAAGATATGTGAATTATGCCTAAGAAGCAGCTGAACATGAGCTGCTAAACGTGTCAAGATGAGAAGACCTAGTCTTTTGTTTAGTTGTTGCTATTTTATTGGTCATCATTTGTTTTTAGTTGTTGCTGTTTTTTTAGCTTAATGGCTGTGTTAATTTTTGGTTTTTTCGTTGCAAGTTCATGTATTTAAATTAAGCATTGCATTTGAATTAAATGACAAGTTTCAGTCTCTTGTGTGAGCACCTGGTTCTTTCTTATAATGGTTCTTTCTTATAATCCAATAAAAGAGCGGGTGAGTGACAAAAAGTGTCGTAAATAATGAGAGAGTTTAGATTGGTTGTACTATATATATTTTTCACTAGATCAGAGGGTCAACCATAGTATGCCTTTATGATCAGAGATGAACTTTCCTCTAATATGGATTGCATTTACTGATATTCATTGGATTTGGGACCTGCAACCTCTAATCTCGAATCTTTAAATTGTTGACAAATGGCTCTTCTTTTGATTTTTCATTCAAAAATTGGTTTGCAATTGGTTAAGCATTCTTCAGTTTCTATTTTGTATATATTTTGTTCTCTATTTTGTTCCTTGGCTCATATCCAGGCTGCAGTGGCATTTCTGGGTTGAAATTGCCATTGGAAGAGAATCCCTTTCTTCTTCAATGCACCCTTCACAATTGAGACATAAGAGCAGAAGAGGCAAGGAGAGACAGAGAATTACCATCGTCATGGTTCTGATGTTTTTCAATTAATGATTTTGCTGAATCTCATTGACTTTTTACTTGTACAGTAAAAAATCAATACTTTCATTGCATTTCATTTGTTAGTAATCTTCCTTGCAAGAGTATGAATGACGTGGACCAATAGGTTTTAGAATTTTTGAAATGATACGAGCACGGTAGTAAAACTTGAAACTAAAAGAAAAAAAAATTATTAATCTAATTTTAAGGTTTCTTAAGCCTAATTTGATATGAAACGGCCTAAAGAGCCAAAGTCATGGTTATGCCATGATAAGACATGGTTTTAGAAAAAAAAAAAAAGAAGAAGAAGAAGAAGACTAATTAGGCTCTCAAAATGGATTTTTTTTCTATTTTTTCTTAAGTTTTGAGATTTGTATTTGTTTTTCTTTTCGAGTTGGTTTAGGGATTTTTTTTTTTTTTTGAATCTTCTATTTATATATGACTTGGAGGCTAAAAATGATAGTTTTTTTTATTGATAAAAATTTTGAGAGAGTATCTAAATTTATCTCAACTTTCAGCATTCTTTGGATCGACATAACTTAAAACCTATTTCTTAGTACTTGTATATAATTCAATAGGTTGTAATATATCGATATCTAAAATTTGTATTTGAATTAATAGATCAACTGTGTTTATCCTCTTTTGTTAGCTTCCGTTATGTTAGTTGAATTATCCTATCGTCCTTTTCTTTTTCTTTTTTTTTTGGGTCAGTTTACTTGACACTTGACTGTTCTTAGAAGATTCCCACTTGGACTATCAACAGTCTCAATGGCACCTTTGTCGGGTTCTCTTGATATTGACCTCACTGTTGCCAACAATACCTGGAGTAACAACGAAAGTATATGTGCTCACAAATCATTATTAATTGCAATGTTTCTGAATTTTTACCGCAATGTGTTTAGTTTTTTAAGAAAACCAATGACTGTGACCAAGAAATTTTGTTCTCTCTTGAAAAGGACCAAAGAATGAAATGGGAAGGTCATGACCAAAACAGGTGTTTCAGAATCTGTTAACATGCATGTGTCGTCAAAAAGCTAGAATTTGTAAGAAGACCAAAGACCATCAGCCAAGAACATTAAAGAAAGACCGAAAGGTGACGGTTATGACTAAAACAGCTGTTTCAGAATGTGTCAAATGCATGTGTAGTCAAAAAGCTCATCAAATTTCTAATTAAGAAGACCAAAGTCTACCGGCCAAGAACATTAAATTAAGAAAGACCAAAGACTGAAATTGTAATGTTATGTCAAAAAAGATTTTGAGAAACTTCAATGCAACGTAACAATGGACGGAGTACAGCTGAGCGGAGTAAAGTCTTTAATTTCCTCATAAAGGAAGGGGACAACGCTTGACAACTATGACGGTGTTTCTGTTTCTCGGATTCAAAGAAACTATATATATATATTTGTACAAAAAAAAAAAAAAAAACAAGGATACAAACTTCAGAATGCTTAAAATTTTAAAGATTACATTTATTGATAGAATGAATGCTTATAAACTGAATTTTTTTCCTCTAGATATGATGTTATCACAAAAAATCAATTCTTAAGAATCATAAACACAAATTGGAGACGCAAAATGAAGTAAAAAAATATAAGTATCAACCTACAAACCTATCAGTCTAGAACTATAACCTACGATGTATTGTTTAACAAATTTCGAATGTGTTGAAACTTGAGATAATGTTCTAAGAGTAATTAATAGGATTGAGGCTCTTCCCTGATTTTTCATAACGCTTCCATGTTCTCCTGCAATTTCTCTATGCTTCACATTCCTCTTGATCATGTTTTATTCTTGATTATGCTTTATTTTTCTTTTATAACTGTCTACTTTTTTCCTAATTGTTAAAAACTTTAATCCATTTTTTCTTCTATTTTCATAGAATTGTTAGAAAATTTGAATTTTGAATATAACAGATAATAAAAATTACAAGAGAGATTGTGATAAAATTTTCGTACTCCTAGCTACAATATTTAGCACAAAAAAATAAAAATAAAAATAAAAAATAAAATAAAACATACGCGTAAAGGTCAAAAAGCATGACGTATGCGATAAGGCCATTTGAAAATTGATTGGAGAAAATTTTCTGGAATTCCAAGGGAACACAGGAGAAATTTTGACTTATAAAAAAAGTAGAGTTTGGAATAAGAACAGGACCGACAAAAAAAAAAAAAAAAAAACAAGTCAAGTACAGAGTAAGCATGATCTGAATAAATAATAAAAATATACAATATAATAAGGAATTACTTAAGAATCTATGTGTAATAAAGATTTTTTTCTTCTTTTGGGCATTCGTAGGTCCTGTGATTGCGCACCAAAGCTTATCCACGTATAGGTTGGGGAGCCGACAAAATCCTTTGATTTTTCAAACATTTTACACTTAAAAGATGATGTTCCACCACAAGCAACACTACATTGTTGTTCTCAAAAGAGGATCATGCTCCACCAATTGGATTAGCATGTTTATAGGAGTCGAATATCAAATCTAACTGTTATAAAATTTAAATTCGAAGCCACCCCAAATCTTGTAGAGTTTTAATAGCAGGGTTGTCTTAGGATTTCCAACAAATAGGATACTAGCATTGTCATACCTCATCTTCAGCTTATTTCTATAAATATATTATGATACCTTAGATTTCTATAAATTAGTAATTTGCTGCTTTAAATTAAAAAAAAAATAGTTATAGTTAAAAACCTTATAAAAAAAAAAAACAAATAACAATGCAGAATGGTATGTTTACCAAATTATACATCTCCATTGGTATTTGATCAATAAATTCGAGATGGATCGAGATTTAAATTGAAATGATAAACATTTTACACTTGAAAGATGATGTTCCTCCCCAGACAACTTTGTGTTTATGATTCTTAAGAATTGAGGTTAACAACACTACATTATTGGTCCCTAAAAAGGATCATGCTCGACCAATTGGATTAGCATGTTTATAGGAGTCAGATATCAAATCTAACTGTCGTAAAATTTAAATTGAAAGCCATCCCAAGTCTTGTAGAGTTTTAATAGAAGGGCTGTCTTAGGATTTCGACGGATAGGATTGATACTAGCATTGTCATACCTCATCATCAGCTTATTTATGTAAATAGATTATGATAGTATATATTTAAATAACAGTCGTTTATATAAAAATTTAAGCGTATCTCGTTATCGACATTATATTTTGCTTTTACTAAACCCTAACCTGTAATCATGATTGCTTTTTTAAAACTATGTATAACAGTCATTATATATGAATTCAAGCAGTGCAATTTAGATACATAAGTTTCTCCGTACATCCTTCAAGCAATATGTACATATATCATTCAGTACACAATCTCAATAAATAAGATAACAGCGCTCCAAAATATCAACATTGAAGTTGAGGCCAAACCGGAGCAGAGATTTGACGGACTGCCCTTTACGGATGGACTTCTCTTGACCGATGGACTTCCCACCAGCTCTCGAAAACATTTCTTTTTTAATGGCTTGCCACATAGGTTGGGATTGCCTAGATAGCTGGAATTATCAAATGTGGAAAACTGCGTTGCACTTGGTATCGGGCCTGATAGATTATTGAAAGAAACATTAAAAATTACAAGAAAAGGATTATCATCTAGGTGTGGAGGCAATGCACCAAAGAACTTGTTGTTTGAAAGGTCTAGGCTTTCCAAGTAACTTAAATTCGCCAAAGTGGGGATTGGACCAGTGAGGAGGTTATTTGACATGTTCAACCACAATATCGCTTTCAACTTTGATATCTGGAGGGAAACTGCTCCTGTCAATTTGTTGGAAGAAACATCCATCGAAGGAACCAAGGGGAAAAGGTCATAGTAGAGCACTGAAAACCGATTGTCAAAGAACAAATCTACCGAAGCAAACCAAGAGTGGGAGTCAAAATGATTGCTAACAGATTCTTCTGTCCAGGATGTGATGTTGTCAAGGCATGTGGGAACATCCCCTGAGAGATCATTTTGTGAAAGATCCAAAACATTCAAGTGTTTCATTTGGCACACCTGAAGGGGAATTCGCCCTTCGAAATGGTTTTCTCGTAGAATCAGTAGTCTTAATTGAGGGAAGACAGGGAAGTTTCTTGAAAGCTCACCAGAAAAGGCATTACTGTGAATGCTAAGCATTAGCAAAGAGGAACACTTTGACAGACCATCTAGAGATAATCCTGTGAAGTGATTCCTTTCAAGAAATAGCCATCGCAGGTTACACCAACTAGAATTTCTTGGAAGTGCTTCTCCTTGCAAATTATTTCCAGATAACCTCAAGTATTGGAAAGACGTTATATTACTCTTCATGCTGTGGGGTATCTTTCCTTCGAAATCATTTTGTGATAAGTCCAGAATCTGAAGTTGCTTCATTGCACCAAAAGACTCTGGGAGGCTGCCAACAAAATTATTCCGAGAGGCATTTAGGTGGCGTAACTCTGGGAGAATGGAGTTGATAGCTGCCGGAAGTGACCCGTACAGAAGATTCTCGGAAACGTCAAGTACGGCTAGCTGGGAGCTCATGTTTCCTTGACTTCTGGGGAATGAACCACTCAAGTTGTTGCCTCTTATCCTCAATTCTGAAGAGACATTGAATAGCAGCGACAAGGGAATGCTTCCAACGAGGGAATTGTAAGATAAATCTAGGTATTGCAGATGGTACTGTGTGGATATGAAGCTGGGAATTCTTTTGCCTGTTTGCTTGTTCAAGTTACACGCAGCTAGTTTAAGCTGATTCAGGTTAAAAGAAGGGGACCAAACGGGGGATTCTGTTTCTATCTCTAAATCAGCATTGAATGAAATGTCAAGGTGTTTGAGTTTCGAAAGATTTGCGAAAATTGCTAATGAAATCGCATCATTGAACTTATTGCGTGAGATGATAAAGGACTCAATATTTGGTAGGTTGTGGAATAGGGATGAGGGAAAGGTTCCGTTGAACAGATTAGAAGAGAGATCCAGATACCTGAGAGTAGTGATGTTGCTGAAGCATGCATCAATGTTTCCTTGTAATTGGTTGTTAGAAAGTTGTAGCTCTCTAAGGGACTGGCTGTCACAAAGGCACTTTGGAATATCTCCATGGAATTTATTTCTTGATAGATCCAAGAAGTGGAGAGAAGGCATATTCCCCCAACAGAGATGAGAACCATCTGCTAACAAATTGTCCCGGAGATCCACCTTTTGAAGGTATTTCAGTTCGTGCAATGCTGCAGAGTTATTTTGAGTAGAAGTGTGTGTAAGAAATAAGTCTAAACAGCACAAGCGATAGCAACAAGCAGCGAAAAAAACAGCAAGAAGTGCAAACAATAACTGAAATGGAGACAGCAGTGAAAAGAGAGAGAAGATGATAGAAGAATTGACAATAGAGGTTTACCATTAGGTGCTATGAATTCCTCAATTTGGTTGCCTGGCAGGTGAAGCTCTTGCAAGCCTTTAAACTGAGCAAATAAAGTAGCATTGGGATGCCATTTCTCCGTCGAGCTTTGTTCCTTCATACGGTAGTGAAATATGATCTTTATGACATAAGAGTTTGAAACATCGCATTCAACTCCCTCCCAGTGACAGCAATCCTCTCCATACCAGTTTGAGAAAGCAGTTCCCTCTGGGTTGTTTGTTGAGCTTCTGATTTGTAGGAGAGCATCTCTTTCTTCTTCCATGCACCCTTTGCAGTTTAGAAACAAGAGCAGAAGTGGCAAGACTGAGTAGAGGTTTTCAAATCTCATGGTTGGATGTTTTTGTGTTTTAATGACTTTGCTGAAACTTATGGATCAAATTTCTGGAGGATGAATATTAATTCTTTTAAGTATCTTGATTTCGCAAAAGCATGGATCATTATTTATTTATTTATTAGTTGTCATGTCTTTAAATATAATACCACCTACCGCAGACCTAAAGAGCTTGACATTATTACCAGCAATGCCCTTACATTATTCTAAATGTAATGAATACAAGATATTAAGTCATTTGTCATTTTATTGTCTAAGTTATTAATATTACTCGCAAAAGCTCAATTAATTAAGTTAATTAGATCCAACTTTTAAATAAAATTAATTATAAAATTTTTCCAAAATAAATCCTTTCCATAAAAAAATTCTTTCATGAAATATATAGATATACTTATTCAAAAGTTTGGCTAAAAAAAATCTTAATTATACTTATAAAACTTAATTTTAATACTTTAGTAAAATAATTTGGCTTAAATTAACTACATTGTCTCTTTAATTTTTCTCAATTACTTTTAAAAAATTCGAATTAAATAAATATTTATGTGATAAGAAAAAATCAATTTAGTCTAACATATTATATTAAATTCCTACTATTTTCCTTTGAAAACCGAATTAATTGGAAAATAATCAACTTATTAATCAATTTGCTTTTATTAATTAATCACCAATTAAATTAGTCTATATCTTAAAATTTCTAATACTTCAATTTAATAGAAAATTCTTTAAATTAGAAAAGGATTAATTAGCTCAATTAAAATTTCACAGTTTGGTCACTAGACTTTCTTAATTAATTCAATTAGGTTCTTCAATTTTAATTTCTAAACTTTCAATTTTCACAACCAAGTCCTTAATCTAGGTTTTTTTGAGTTTCGTAATGGTCACTTGAGTTTTTTAATTATTTTAATCAAATATCCAAACTTTTGATTGTTGCAATTATTCGCCTAAGGTTTTGCAGTTGCATACACAACCATCACAATTAATATCATAACCTCACTAATTCAAGCATTAAGTAATTCATTCACCCCTTATAATATTTATGCATTTATTAAATTGTTTTCTAAGTAAGCATAAATATTAATTCACACCTTAATTAACTATTCATATATTAAATAAATTATATATATACACACACACTTAACGAGGTTTTAGGTGGAGGATATTACGTTAACAATCCTCAGAAAGTTCCCACTTTGCCCATTACAGTCTTTCTTCTTCAGCTGGCTTCCAACTTCAAGTCTTCAACAAGAGTTCAGCTTATTCTCTTCTTAAGAGCCCAATCACCGCTCTATTACGTCACAATGAGAGTCAACAAATTAAAAGAGATAATTAAGGTGCATGTTTTCCGATTCAATGGAGACTTCCAAGTCAGCAAATTGCCGACGATTTTTTTAATATTCTCTCATCAATGTTTTTATTCTCTTCTTACGAGCCCAGTCACCACTCTATGCTTTTCAATAAAATATAAGAAACAGAAATGTGACAGCCATGATCGAAACAGGACTTGGGAAATTTCCTTGCAATGCAGCGAAAGGTGAAGTAAATTTGAGTAGGACCGATAAATTGACTGGCAATAAAGAAAGGATGAAACTAGTGTGATGCTGTGTAGCTTCAAGTGATTCTACCTTATATTAATTTCCTTAAATCTCATAACAGATAGCTTCAGTTCTCTTCCAGTTATTCTCAGTTTCTCACTTCCATAATGAGAAAGTTGAATTCTTATGGTGGTGTGTCATTGCTTATGATGCTATGTATCTGTTGCAACTTTGGCTGGTGCACAGGTTGCTTGGATGATGAGTGGAGGGCTCTCCAGGAAATCATAGATTCTATGGGCTTTCAGTCGGAATCTTCTCTACCAGAAAGTTACTCTGATGATTGTTGCCAATGGGAGGGGGTAGATTGCAGCCTCACAAACTCCCATGTTGTCAGAATTTTCTTTGATTATGCTAGGGAAGACGAGGAGTTGTGGTTTCCAGATATGGATCTGTTTTCTCAAATCAAGGAATTGCAAGAATTGCAACTTGCAGGGAATAGCATCGGTGGACTGGTTAACCCTGAAGGTGAGATGATTCACATCGACTAAAAACTACGTTTTCAGATTAATGGAATTGCTTACAATCCTTATTGACTCATATTGCAGCATTGTGCAAACTCAGGAACTTGCAACTGCTGGACCTTTCATCCAATCTAATCGAAGATGATGTGCCCTCTTGTTTGACTAACATGTCATCACTCAAAATTCTGGACTTGTCAAGGAACCAATTTGAGGGAGACCTTTCCTTTCTTGTCAACATATCACAAATTGAGGTTGTTGATGTTTCCCACAACCATTTCCAAGGTCTGGTCCCACTGTCAATTTTTGCAAACCTCTCCAAGCTTAGTCATCTAGATTTTTCGTACAACTATAAGTTAGAAGTTGACACTGAATCTCCAACTTGGTATCCTTCTTTCCAAATACAACATCTGTTGTTGGCAGGGTGCAATCTCAACTGTAGAAGTAATCATATTATCCCTAGCTTTCTGTCCAGCCAATATTCCCTGCAGACCATAGATTTATCTAACAACTTCCTTGAAGGGTCATTTCCCACTTGGATGCTTCATAATGTTTCTTCAATGTTGAGGTTGAGGAGCAATTCATTTGTTGGTGAGTTCCCTCATGCTTCCCAAAATAAATCATTGACACTTCGCGAGCTGGATATCTCATGCAACCTTCTTGAGGGACCATTGCCCTCAACCATAAATGTTTTTCTTCCAAACCTTTATGCATTCAATGCGTCTTCAAACCAATTCGCTGGCACCATTCCCCCTTCATTTGGAGAAATGCAAAAGCTAGAACACTTGGACTTATCCAACAATCGCTTTTCGGGAGTCATTCCAAATGGTCTAACCAAAAACTCCCCATTTTGGTACTTAAATCTGTCAAACAATAGCTTAGGGGGTGAGTTGCTTCCAAAAGATTGCAAAATGACGGAATTGAAGTGGCTGCAGCTTCACCATAATCACTTTGTTGGGAATATGCCCGGTTGCTTGTCAAACAGCTTGTCTTTGTTCCTGCTGGATGTCAGGCACAACAACCTATCAGGAATAATTTCAGATGAAAAGATAGCTTTCGCTGAATTAGGAGCACTTCTTTTAGGAGTGAATAGATTTGGAGGGTCCATTCCACGGCAATTGTGTCGAAAGCAAAAGTTGCACTTGTTAGATCTGTCCAATAATAATTTCTCAGGATCCATTCCTTCTTGCCTTAGTAATAACTTATCCTGGAGAGAGAAGTTTGAAGAAAACTCTTGGGTTCCCATTGATTTTACCACCAAGGGTAACTCATATTCTTACCGAGGCATCCCACTTACTTTGATGACGGGGATTGATCTTTCGGGTAACCAACTGACAGATACCATCCCAGTCCAACTTGGAGAACTGCTTGAACTTATGTCTTTGAACTTGTCGCACAATCTTTTGACTGGCCATTTACCAGCTTCCTTCCAAAATCTCACCAATTTGGACAGCTTAGACCTCTCCCACAACAAGTTAACAGGGCATATACCTTCAGAGATTGGACAGTTGAGTTCTCTTGGAACTTTTAGTGTTGCCTATAATGATCTATCAGGCAGGATCCCATTTGAACTCCATCTTTCGACATTCTCTTATAGCAGCTACATCGGCAATCCTAAGCTCTGTGGAGAACCATTATCGAAGGAATGCTCAGATGATTACACCCATGACAATGAAGATGATGAAAAAGAAGGTGGACTCATCAACGAACCATTGTTCTTCTATTCATTTATCTTCATTGCATATGCTTTTGGGTTTTGGAGTGTCATTGCACCTCTTTGCCTCAGCAAAAACTGGAGAAGAAAGTATTACGCTACAATAGATAGATGGACGAGTTGCTGTTTTCAGAAGTGGTGATGCTTTAATTTGTATGAAATAATGTTTTTATTCTAAATTATGAAATAATGTTGTTATTCTAAATTTTAAAGGACTTTCTCTATAATTACTCTTGAATTTTTTGGATTAAAACTTTTTTTTTTTTTAAATCCATAACTAAAAAAGAATCTCAATAAAAAAATTTGAAGAATACATGATAAAATGCAAAGAAAACCCAAATTTCAAATAAGAGTTTTCTTTTCGATTTATTTTTTATTTTTTATTTTTAATCCATAACTAAAAATAAGAGTAAATTATAAATTAGCTCTTCTAGTTTTAAAATATGAATTAATTAGTCCTCTTTGTTTTAAAAATTAATTATTTAATTTCAATATTTTTAAATCTATTTGCACCGTAACTTTTTTGCTCCTTTCAATTCATTTTGAATTTTTATTTTAAGAAATAAAAAAAAATGGAAAGAATGATGAAAAAAATATTTTATAAAATAAAAATAATATTAAATTAAACATGATCAACACTGTCAAAGGACTAAATGGCGGTTTTTGAAATAAGAAGGAATATTTAATTCTTTTATTGAAACTAGAGGGACTAATTTATAATTTACTCCTAAAAATTATTATAATAAATTTCTATGATTTTGGGGATGGGAATCATGAATTTGCTGCCATTAAATTTTATGGGCCTTGTGAGCCGACCCTATTTAGAGTTGGGCTAATCTAGGCTTCTGCCCACTAAAGCTTATCAATATAGAAGCATACCCACCAATGAATGAGCCCAGAAGAAGGAAGGGGCCATTTCCATCCCTAAGCCTAGAAAGTAATACTACTATATTCTTCTGCTGTCTCATGCTAAGGCCCTAAGCAGTATAACAATTCATCAGACTTCCTTTATATATATATATATATATATATATATATGTGGTATAACTCAAGATATATCCTATAATTTATAATGACAACATATTTAACATATTTTATCAATTTTTTTTTTTTGATCAGTTATTATCCAAGAAATCACGGATTCAATTATTAAATAATGTTATAAATTGAATTTATTTACGCTCCATCATGCAAGGGGAAAAAAAATTTATGGGCCATGTTAGCTGCCCTATTTTTCCTTGGGTTACATTTACACGGGCCTAAGTTTTATTGTGTAGTTTTTTAGCCTTTATCTGGGCCTGTAGGCCTTGGTGCTTGTATGAATGGGCTGGCCTTTTTTCACCTTCAATCATTAATGAAAATTTCATAAAACGAATATATATATATATATATATATATATATATATATATGATTTGGATAAATAAAATTTATACACATCTGTTTTGTGGATAACATCATACTCAAATTGAAACTGAAGAAACTGCATAACCAATCGCAAGCTAATTTTTTAATGAAAAGTCAAAAGAAGAGCCATTTGTCCAAATCCAGTGAATATCAGTGAATGCAACGCATATTAGAGGAAAGTTCATCAATGATCATCAAAGCAAACTGCGGTTGACCCTCTGATCTAATGAAACATATATATACGTACTACTCTGGTTATGATTTTACTTCTGTTATCTCCGGCTCAAAGCCATCACCACTTGAATTGGAAGAGACCATATCAGTTTGACTCAATATCTCAGGATCTGTATTGAGGCCATTGTTATTCCAGACAGCCATCAACATTTTGTGCACTTGAACCATTGTTGGCCTTCGATCTGGAATAGGCTGGATACAGTTTGAGGCAATCTTCAGAAAATTAAGGACTTGAGAATCGCATCCTTGACCAAGTAGAGATTTGTCAATAGCAGAATACAGACTGGAGCAGACAGTCAATACACCAAGCAGAGATTTCACAAAAGTCTCTTCTAGAGTGCGATAAAATTCACTATTATGAACAGGATTTTCTCCTGTAATCAGCTCAAGAAGAAGAATACCAAATTGATACACATCTCTCCTGATAAAATCCAATTCTCCCACCTTACCGTGTGCTGGGAAACCTTTAGCATTTGAGCCCTTGAACAGTATTGCCCCTCCAAAATTTGATATCTTAGGTTCAAAATATTTGTCAAGCAAGATACAACTTGAGCTAATCTTACGATGAACTATTTGGAAATCAATATAATTGTGGATCCACGCCAACCCACTTGCTATCCCAACCGCGATTTTAACCCTGAGATGCCAGACTAGGATCTTAGCTTCCCCTTTTACTGGATGTAACCAATCGTGAAGATTTCCATTTGGCATATATTTGTACACCAAAATCCTTTCCCTCGATTCTGTGCAGATCCCCAAGAGTGGAACTATGTTGATATGTTTACACCTGCCCAAAATCGTCAACTCAGACCTGAATCGTTTTTCTGAATGTGGAGTGTTATGCAACCTCTTTACTGCAGTGAAACAATCATATGGGAGAGATCCCTTGTACATTGTCCCGGTCTTTCCGACTCTAATGACATTGTCTCTGTCAAAACTAGCAGTTGCTTTCTTTAGTGCCACGAAACTTACTCTCGTAATCAACTTCTCAGGCTTTGAAATCGGCATCTGAATGAAATAATTGATGACCATTAGTAAACATGAACATAATTGAGATCTAACTAGACATAGCAAAAAAACAAAATATATGATGAAATGAAAATCTCATATATGGGGATACCTGTATGTTGGCTGCATTTCTCTTCTTCTCCTGCCTTGCCATCAAAGATGCCATCATTGGGGCCTTCATCATCACCCTGTTCCTTTTCTTCTTGTTGAGATGAGACCAAGGCACACAACAGGACATGAAAATAGCTAAAATGGAAACTGAAGAAATTGCAAAACCAATTCCAAACCCACTTTTGAAAGAAGAACCCAGCTTTGTCCTGTGTTCATCTTCACTCACATCGTTCTCTTGTAAAGAACTGTATCCATTGCCGGCAACACTAAGGATATGAATCAAAAGAAGAGCAAGAATTGCTTTAAGAGCCATTTGTACTTCACAAAATAGCAAACAAGAAGAGATTCAAAATTCGAGAGCCTTGCGTAGAATGTGGATTGATTGGCGTGGAAAATTAGGAAGGTGAAACCGCGTCAGCATTTATATCAGAGATTGCGAGCCTCGGGTAAAATATGGATTGATTGGTCAGTCAACGAGACAAGTCTTCTTCTGTTCGGCATTAGTCAGCAGCTTGGAAATTAATAAATGAGTTCTAAGAGAAAAATCTTTTGTTTTTTTTTTTGTTTTTTTGATAACTTAAGTGTCCAGTCCAGCTTGTACGCACCATGATTAATTTCTAGACTCACTGAATATCCTACAAGCCCAATGAACAGATAAGGCACTGCGGAGGTGACAGGCGTAATCAGAAAAAATCGAATCCCAGGCAAGCCCTCAACTCCTACGTTACGACCTCAAACGCAAATTTTTTGTTTTTTGTCTCTACTTGTTTTGGTCATTGCTTGCGTGGCATCAATTTTTTTAAGGTATTTACTGCATATTGTTCCATTTTCTAAACTGAAATGAGAAATATTTACCGTTCCAGACAGAATACTAGAACGGTATCAACAACACTGATTGTTTCTTTCTTTCTTTCCTTTCCTTTTCTTTTTTTTTTAAAAAAAAATCTCAATGGACATTGAGATAGATAGAAAAGAAAAATACATACTACTTAATATGGTTTATGAGGATATGTACTTATTTTATAACTTACTAATACCTATTAATTATTTTTTGGAAAAAATAAATTAACATATATAAGGATCTAATTGTACAAATTTTATAAAAAAAATGAACCAAAAAAATTATAAATAAAGGAACAAATTGTAAAGCAAATAATTTTCAGGACCAAAATAACTTTTGTGAACATCATAGAGACTAAAATTAACCTTTTGACAAACTATTGATGGCATTAAATAGACAGATAAGCTGAAATCATGTCATATACAATATGCGATTTTAATTTAGTCAGTGAACAAAAACACAGCAACTTAGCAGAGGCTTAAACCTGCTTCAAGAGTTTAGGGTCTTGTGTAGATAAAGGCATCCAGTAATTTGAAGAAAATTATTGAACTTCTTTTTCTCAAAACTCGGAAATCATGAGAAAAAATTCCAAATAACAGAAAGAAAGTAAAAAAAAAAACAAAAACTACTATCTATCTTAAGGAATAGTACCTCTTTAGTTCCTTCATCTAAGAACTCCAGCTCAAAGCTATCATCACCTGAACTATTAGTGACTGAATCAGTTTATTCTCAAACAGCAGTATCGCTTCTTACTTGTTGGTTGAATATACCAAAACAGGAAAAACAGATTTGCCCTTTGAGCTAGCAAGGAAATTTCATGCTGCATTAGTATCTCTGAATCATTAATGAGGCCACATCTCTCCCTTATTGCTCTTATGTCATTGTACACTTGAAGCATTGTTGGTCTTTGATCTGGAATGGTACCAACACAGTTGCATGCAACTTCAAGCAGCTGAAAGATCTCAGCATCAAATCCTTGCCCGGTCATCGGCTTATCGATGGCATCGTAAAAAATTAGAACTACTCAGAAGATGACTAATCCACTCGTTAAGAATGCTGCTGGAGAAATCAGTCATTCTGCTAGTATCCACCCCAGTGATCAGCTCAAGCAGCAGAACTCCATATATATGCACATCCTCCTTAACAAATGCCTTCTCCCGAAAATCACTACTCACACGTGAAGTCTTAGTCGAAATCATAAGCATCGCTACTCCGAAATTTGATAACTTGGGTTCCAAATTCCTATGAAGCAAATAAACCTTGAGCTTATGTTGAGATGCACTTCGCAGGCATTGCAGCCATGGTGGAGCCATGCTAGGCCTCTTGGTATTTTCACCCTCAAAGCCCATTCCGGAATCTTCTTTGGGGCTTCAACAGAATGCAACCAATCGAAATGCAGAATCCTAGCAGTGGCAGTAAGTTATGATGTCTCAATCTACCCAATGTTTTCAATTCTCATACCATATGTTCCTTAAAGTGTCGAGAATCATGCATTCTCTTCCCTGCAAGGAACCAACCCTGCAAGGAAGGGTAGCTTTGTACATGGTTCCCATTAGTCCCAACCCGATGATGTTGCTTTGGCTAAAATTTTACATTGCATTGCTGAGATTTTCGAATTTCTCCAACACAGAAATCTCTGGATATATTCACCTACATTTGATTGGTGCTAAAGTATGCATCTAAATAAATCTGAACTAGACAGAAGGAAATCAGGACAGTGTCTAGATTTTGCTCTAATTCATGGATTCAACGTCATGAATAAATAGTTGCAGTAGGGGAAGATACGGATACGAACAATTAGAACGTACAAAATTTTAACAACTGTACCAAATGAAACGATATCCTCCGTCCTCCATGATAAGCCTGATCGAATAGTGAGGAAATCTGAAAATGAATAAATTCTATTCATCATAATATATGCGTATACATATATGTTAGATGATATGTTTAGGACTGCTGATGTGGAGTCATTAATTGAATGTTTCAAAGTTGTTCCTATTTTTCTGGTGTTGGTTATTCATGTCGTTCTTGTTTGTTATTCATGTTCTGTGATCATGACCTAAATCTTAGGACCATGTTTAGTGAGAAGTTATCTTTCAAGCTATAAATTGTAATGTTTCTAACGTTAAATATATGAAGTTTCAGTTTCTACTTCAAAATATTTACACGGCAGCAATATTTAAAAGCTTTGTACTTTCTTTTCTCATTTACAATTACAACAAATTGGTATCAAAGCTTATTCTTAAGGGACCTGTGTCTGAGATTGGCAAATCATGGAAGCCGAAGCTGGTCTCTCCTCATTTGCTCCACCAGTGTTCGATGGAGACAACTACAAGATTTGGGCAGTACGCATGGAGATATAATTGGAAGCTTTGGATCTTTGGGAAGCAGTGGAAGAAGACTACAAAATTCCTGCACTTCCAAACAATCCCACAATGGCACAGATCAAAGCACATAAGGAGAAGAAGACAAAGAAATCAAAGGCAAAAGCCTGCTGTCTCATCCACTATCTTCACTTGTATCATGTCTCTGAAGTCAGCAAAGGAGATATGGTATTATCTCAAGATTGAGTATAAAGGAGATTAAAGAATTCGAGGGATGAAAGTGCTGAATCTAGTACGTGACTTTGAGCTGCAAAGGATGAAGGAGACTGAAACCATAAAGGAGTATTCTGACCGACTACTCAGCATAGCAAATCAGATCAGATTACTGGGTTCATCTCTAGAAGATTCAAGGATTGTTGAGAAAATCCTTGTAACGGTGCCTGAAAGATTTGAGGCTACAATCACAACCTTAGAAAATACTAAGGATCTGTCCAAAATTACACGAGCTAAGCTATTGAGTGCCTTGCAAGCACAAGAGCAACGACGTGTAATGAGACAAGAAGGAGCTATTGAAGGAGCCTTAGCAGTCAAGCATCAAGATAATGAGAAAAACAAGAAGATTCAAGGAGTAAGTGGTGAGAATACTACAATAAGCAACAAAGGTAAAACAGGAAACAAAAATTATCCTTCATGTCAACATTGTAACAAAATGGGTCACCCTCCTTTCAAATGTTGGAGGAGACCTGATGCAAAATGTAGAAAATGCAACCAGATGGGGCATGAAGCTGTCATATGCAAAAACAAAATTCAACAGCAAGATGAAGAAGCACAGATTGTTGATCAAGAGGAGGAGGATCTACTATTCATGGCTACATGTTTCTCAGGCAGTTAATCAAGTGAAAGCTGGTTGATTGATAGTGGCTGCACTAACCACATGACCAATGAAAAGGAATTTTTAGAGATTTGAGGCCAACTAAGATCACCAAAGTCAGAATTGGCAATGGTGATTACATCTCAGTCAAAGGAAAGGGACAGTTGCAATAGCAAGCAGTTTAGTTACAAAGCTTATTCCTGATATTCTTTTTGTTCCTAAAATTGATCAAAACTTGTTAAGTGTTGGTCAACTGATTGAAAGAGGATTTAAAGTTATTTTTGAAGACAAATATTGCCTGATCAAAGATGCAATAGATCAAAATGTTTTTAAAGTAAAAATGAAAGGGAAAAGCTTTGCTCTAAATCCATTAGAGGAGGAGCAAACTGCTTTCCCAAGCAAAGTAAATATCACAGAAGTATGGCACGAGAGGCTTAGGCAATATCATCATCAGGGGCTGCTGCAGATGAAATCCAAGATGATGGCAAATGATCTTCCAGAATTTGATAATTACATTCCAAACTACAAAGCATGTCAGTTTGGTAAGCAAAGCAGAAAACCATTTCCCAAGGCGACGTGGAGAGCATCAAAGAAGCTGCAATTAATTCATACAGATGTCTCAGGCCCTCAAAGAACACCTTCTCTGAAAGGTAGTCTTTATTATATTGCATTCATTGATGACTTCACCAAGATGTGTTGGATCTTTTTCTTGAAGCACAAATCAGAAGTAGCTCGAGTCTTCTGGAAGTTTAAAGCAAGAGTTGCAAATGGAAGTGGCTGCAAAATTCAGATATTAAGATCAGACAATGGTAAGGAGTACACATCTACAGAATTCAATCAATTCTGTGACGATGCAGGCATTGAACATCAGCTTATAGCTCCCTATACTCCACAACAAAATGGAGTCAGTGAGAGGAGAAATTGATATATCCTGGAGATGACGAGATGCATGCTACATGAGAAGAATTTGCCAAAGACATTCTGGGCAGAGGCAGCAAATACTGCTGTTTTTCTTCAAAATAGGCTCCCCACAAAAGCAATGGAAGATCAAACACCATTTGAGGCATGGTATGGTTACAAACCATCTCTGAAATTTCATAAGGTGTTTGGTTATTTGTGTTTCACTCATGTTCCACAGAGCAAGCGAGATAAACTGGATAAAAGAGCATCACCGGGTGTTTTTATAGGCTACAGTACATTTAGCAAAGCCTATAAAGTCTTTCAACCTCAAACTGGAAGCATCATTGTTAGCAGGGATGTGCACTTCATGGAAGATGAAGAATGGAACTGGGATGATGAAAAGAAGGCAAATCACACCAAGCTTCCTGAACATGGAAATCAAAATTGGCAAAATGAGATGGCAGATGATGTTCTTGTAAGAGGTACTAGATTGCTTTCTGATGTTTATGAAAGATGTAATATAGTTGTGTGTGAACCCGCAGATTATGAAAAGGTAAAGAAAGATCAAAATTGGATAGCTGCAATGAAGGAGGAGCTGTCAATGATAGAGAAAAACAAAACATGGACTCTTGTGGAAAGACCCCAAGGCAGTAAAATGATTGGGGTTAAGTGGGTGTATAGAACTAAGCTTAATGCTGATGGGTCTATTAATAAACATAAGTCAAGACTCGTGGTGAAAGGTTGTTCATAGGTTTTTGGTGTGGATTACTCAGATACCTTTGCACCGGTTGCTCGATTGGACATCATCAGGCTACTACTTGCTGTAGATGCTCAAAAGAATTGGAGAGTATATCATCTCGATGTCAAATCAGCTTTTTTAAATGGTTTCTTTGAGGAAGAAATCTATGTTGAGCAACCCGAAGGCTTTGTGAAGGAAGGAGTCCGAAGGCTTTGTGAAGGAAGGAGTAGAAGATAAGGTTTATCTTCTTAAGAAGGCCCTTTATGGTTTGAACAAGCTCCAAGAGCTTAGTGCAGTAGAATTGATGAACACTTGCTGAACTTGGGATTTGTTAAAAGCTTATTTGAATCAACATTGTATGCCAAGCACAATGGAGCTGATATTCTTATAATCTCATTATATGTGGATGATCTGCTTGTGACAGGAAACAACACAAGTCTTGTGGAGAAGTTTAAGCAAGAGATGATGGAGCTTTTTGAGATGACAGATCTCGGTTTGATGACCTTCTTTCTTGGAATGGAAATTAAACAGACTAAACATGAAGTTTTTATTTGTCAGAAGAAATACGCCAAGGAGGTTCTAAGAAAGTTTAAACTCGAAGAATGCAAAGAAATGAGCACTCCTATGAACCAAAAGGAAAAGCTTTGTAAAGAAGATGGAGCAGACAAGATTGATCAGGCATACTTTAGAAGTCTGATTGGTTGCTTGATGTATCTCACAGCAACTAGGCCTGATATTTTGAATGCTGCAAGCATTTTGTCTCGATTTATGCACTGTGCAAGCGAATTGCATTTCAAGGCTGCAAAGAGGGTGATTCGATATGTCAAAGGCACATGTGATTTCGGCATTAAATTCACAAGGAGCAAAGAGTTTGAGCTGGTTGGTTTCTCATGTAGTGATTGGGGAGGTTCCATTGATGATATGAAGAGCACTTCAGGCTATTGTTTTACACTTGGCTCTGGTGTTTTCTCGTGGAGTTCAAAAAAAAACAAGAGACTGTAGCTCAATCCACTGCTGAAGCAAAGTTTGTTGCTGCAACAGTTGTTGTTAATCAAGCTTTGTGGCTGAGGAAGATTTTAATTGATCTTAATCTGGAGCAGAAGAGAAGCACAGAGATTTTTATTGACAACCAAGCTGCTATTGCTATCTCACATAATCCTGTGTTTCATGGTAAAACTAAGCATTTTAACATTAAGTTATTCTTCTTAAGGGAAGTAGAAAAAGATGGAGCAGTTGATCTTGTCTACTGCAAAACAGAAGATCAAGTTGCTGATCTATTCACCAAGCCGCTGTCGGTTAGCAAGTTTGAATATTTGAGGACAAAACTTGGTGTTTGCAGCTCCTAAAGCAAGGAGGAGTGTTAGATGATATGTTTAGGCCTGCTGATGTGGAGTCATTAATTGAATGTTTCAAAGTTATTCCTATTTTTCTGGTGTTGATTATTCATGTTGTTCTTGTTTGTTATTCATGTTCTGTGATCATGGCCTAAATCTTAGGACCATGTTTAGTGAGTAGTTATTTTTCAAGCCATAAATTGTAATGTTTCTGACGTTAAATATATGAAGTTTCAGTTTCTACTTCAAAATATTTACACTGCAGCAATATTTAAAAGCTTTGTATTTTCTTTTCTCATTTACAATTACAACAATATATATACACACACATATATATATATAGACGCAAAAGATCAGGCTGATTCAGTCATGCCTAGCATCAACATGGAGGCTTGGTCTGTGCATACACAAACACAATACTCTATCATGCATGCACGGACTGCGACCGAGAAAGTAACTCTTTCGTTTCTCCCTGCAGAATTTCCGCAGTTGGATTCCTGCAAACTTGACCCTCTTCCGCTCTCTTCTGCTTCTTTGGAATAATCAATGCTATCATTTCTGCAACTGTGATTTTCATTTTTTCTTTTCTCTGTGTCCATCCAGGGTATGCAATAGGAAGTAAAAACCAGAATAGTTAAACTAATTTATATTTCACTTTTTTTCTTCTTCCGTGAAAACCATCGTTTCCCTCTTCTGCAGAGAACAGAAGAGAGAGACATGGAAAAAGGCTTTGATGTTTCGGAACAAACAGTCAACTACATTTAATGAACCGACTGTCGAAATTACTACAACTCGTGATTATAAGATGAGAAGAGCGCCAAGATCACTTCCCGCGAATTATGCGATTTAACCAACCTTTAGACTGGAGTTGGCGGTCAATATGAAATGCAAGAAATTAAGAAACTTTTTTGAAAAAAAAAAAAAAACTAAAGAATGATCTATTGGCTAATTTATATATATCCCTTTCAAATTAATGTTTGATCTGTTGTTTTTCCTATTTTCTGTGATTGAAACTAGGATATGGCTTTCAAGTTCTTTGTTAAATCCCAACCTAGCTGGGCTAGCTAGTCCTTTATTACCATTTATTTTTAGAAACTTCAAAGCAACCTCAGGAGTCAGAACAGTACTTTTCTAGGTCTCTGCTATTATTTATTTATGTATGGTCTTGTATGTGTTGTAATTATATTAATTGTATTATAGACAATTTTACCTGCTTCAAACTCCCCAATAATGGCCATTAACGCAGGAGCTCATACAGTCTTCCCAATGTTTTATGTTCATTGTTGTGTATGTTTTGTGTAAGTAGAGCAACTAAGAGTGATATTTATTGCTTGAAATCTATTAAGGATTTCTTGGAAGACCCTTTTGATTACTTCTCTTCATGGGACTTCACCAATTCTACAGAGGGTTTCCTCTGTGGCTTTAGGGGAGTCGAATGCTGGAAACCTAGTGAGAGCAGAGTCGTAGCTCTCACACTTTCTGGCATGGGGCTCCAGGGCCACTTCCCTCCTGGTTTGGAAAACTGCACAAGCATAACAGGTTTGGACCTTTTAAGTAATGAGCTTCAGGGACCAATTCCATCTGACATCTCTGAAAGGCTACCATACATCGCCAGCCTTGATCTATCCTTCATCTACTATTCTGGTGAAATCCCATCAAGTATTGCCAATTTCTCTTTTTAGAATGTTCTAAAACTAGACCATAGCCAACTAATAGGGAATAGCCCACCACAAATTGCCTGGCTCCAACGACACGAACTTCAGTGTTGCGGAGAATTTATTGTCAGGTCCAGTGCCTGAATTTGTTGAAGCAAATTCTACGTGTTGCTTTTCATCTACTTAATTGTTTTTCTTCATCCGTAAACGTGAATTAAACAAACAACCCTGGCCTAAGTGGAGGGCCTTTAGAACCCTGCAAACGGCATAGAAACTAATTTTATTCATCTCTCAAAACTGTGTTTGTTGCTGGTTATAGTTTTTCCTGTTTCAGTCATAGTTGGTTTTCTGTCCTACTGTGTGCCATGGGTGCATGTCAAGAGAAGGAATAAGATGATCACGATAACAACGATGGCGATGCTGATGATGAGGAAGAACAGGAAAGAAACTGATAGCATAAGAGGTTCACCAGCTGTGGAGCTCATACATGGAGGTACGCACAATAATTCTGTGCTTATCAACTCTGGGATTTGAAATAAAACATCTGATTGGTTTGCTTTTGAAATTGATTGTGGGAGTTTTTGCTTTTCTTTTCGTTCATTCATTTCTAAATCTCTCTTATGAGTTTGATATTGAAGCAGTCCAATTTTCAACTGAAGTTACATGATTTCTTTATCTATAGATGGTCCTAAACCTCTCTTATGCATGTGTTTCTTCATTAGCATACTAATGGATTGGGAATTCTGTCATTAGATTTCTCTGTTGAAGACGAAGGTTCCAAGAATGGGCCACAGAGATCTTAATGAGGCAACGAATAATTTCAGTAAAAACAATGTCATTGGGCAGGGAAAGATGGGGATGCTGTACAAAGCAGTTTTGTCTAATGGCTATCTCCTTGCAGTGAAGATATTACACAACTCGCAATTCCTCGAGGAGCAATTCATATTAGAGTTGAAGACACTTGGTATATTGAGACATGTCAACTTACTGCCACTGCTGAAATTTTGTATCACATCAAAATATAGGCTTCTGGTCTACAAATATATGCCAAATGGTAACCTATATATGATTGGCTACATCCGATGGAAGGTCAAACACATGGAATGGATTGTGAGGCTTAAAGTTGCTATCGGGTTAGCAAGAGGCTTTGCATGGCTTCATCACGACTGCAGTAGCTAGTACGATCCGAGTTATCCATCTTGACATAAGCTCAAAGTGCATCGTACTCTATCAGAATTTCGAGCCCAAGTTATCAAATTTTTGGGAGGCAATAATCATTAGTCCAACAAGCACTTCCTACGTAAATGGTGAGTCTTGGGAGACAATTTTTGCTCAGGAAGATGTGTATATATGGATTGGGGGTTGTGCTCCTTGAGCTGATTACTGGGTGGATTTTAGCAAAATGACTGATTCTTCAAGTAGTACTCTAAATGAATGGCTTATTCATTTTCTCCATAGGTCTGATTTTTCTGAGGCTATCGATAAGTCTCTGATTGGGAAAGGGTTTGATCCTGAGATCTTTCTGGTTCTTAAAATTGCATGCAACTATGTTGATACCATTCCAGATCGAAGACCAACAATGCTTCAAGTGTACAACGATATAGAAGCGATAAGGGAGGAGAGATGTGAGCAGGTTGATGAGGCAGAGGTACTTATGCTGCATGAAATTTTCCCTGCCACGTTTGAACGAAACTCTGTTGAGATTCAATTAGAGAATGGGCTTTAAGTAAAGCCAATTAAAAAGAAGGTTAAAAACATTAGCCCATTGTAAAGCCTATTAAAATGGAAGTTAAGATCCCATTGAAAAGAAATCCGTTGGGTTTTTCTTAATTTGCTGAGCTATCAGGCCCAAATCAAATTTTGATATAATGATTATATTTTCAGATATTATCTATTTACAGTATACCATTCTATTTGTTATTACTATATTTTCAGATATTATCTATTTAAAATTTTTGTATTTTACTCTTTCATTATTAGCCATTTTTGAAAAAAGAGTAGCAGTTGTCGAACGATGATGTAAGATGATTACAATTTATACAATCAATTACATATTTTTGTTTATTGAGTCATTTTGTTTTTTGATATAGTTGTCTTACTAGCTCAACACCCGCTGATAAGTTTATTATATCTATGGTTTAATATTTTAAAAAATTTAAAAATAAAAATATAAAATATAAATTAATTAACACTCGTTGTAAAAAATTTATTTAATTTAATATATATATATATATATATATATATATATATATATATATATTGAATTTAAATATTTCTCAGGAATATTTTTTATTTTGATAGATAAAAAATAAATGCAATTAATTATTTTTATTTTTTAAAAAATTAAATTAGAAAGAAGTGTTTAATCCATTTATATTAGAAGAATATTTAATTTTAGTTCATGAATATTTATAAAAATACAAAAAATAACCATTGATCATGAAAAATATATTTTTTTATTAAATAATAATTAATGAAAAAACCCAGTCCAAAAAAAAATATGATAAGGACCTTTTGGTAATATTCATAAAAATTAGGGACTATTTTATATAAAATAATAACTTAGAGAACCAAAATGTAAAATACTGATAAATTGATTAAAAAAATCACTTATTATTATTATTTTTTTTAAACGACGCCGTTTTGGTTTTACTATAACAGGGGCTTAGCTACAGTAAAATTACGTCCGCTTTTAGTATATGTACTAGTCCCTCTAGTTTTTCAAAAAGAATTAAATAGTCTCTCTAGTTTCAGTAACTAATTAATTAATTTTCATATTTTTAAATCTAGTTGATCAATTTTTTCATAAATAATGAAAATGAAAAATAAGTAAAAAAAATTAAGATTGATGAAAAAAAAGTTATTTTTTAAATAAAGTATTATTAAATTAATCACAGTCAATGCCAATTAATAGATTAATTAATTATTTTTTGAAACTAAAAAAGATTATTTAATTTTTTTGTAAAAATAGAGGGATTAATACATAATCTACTTCTACATAAAGTAGAAAAACATAAACCCAAATGGGCCAAGTGTAGTAACAGTTGTTATGGCCTCTTTTTCTTGGCCTGTTCGAGTTTTCTTAGCATTTCATCTCCGAAAGCCCACATTTGCCAACAAATCTAAACGAAAATGGCGTCTTTTTCAGGGCCTATTCGTGTTTTCTTCGCATTTCATCTCTCAAAGCCCACAATTGCCAACATCTCTAAACGAAAATGGCCTGTTTGTCAGGGCTTGTTCATGTTTTCTTAGCATGGGCTGATTAGAACTTGGTTGGTATGGTAATGAGAGATGGATGGAGTCCAATATAGATGATAATGGATCGGGCATGAAACCTTATAAAATCAAGCATTTTCGTCTCTCAAAGCCCACAATTCTATTTGTTATTATTATATTTTCAGATATTATCTATTTAAAATTTTTGTATTTTACTCTTTCATTATTAGCCATTTTTGAAAAAAGAGTTGCAGTTGTCTAATAATGATGTAAGATGATTACAATTTATACAATCAATTACATATTTTTGAACCTCATCATCATGTACTTGATACATAGTTGTGTTGCTACAGAGCTGCCAATAATGGAAAAGTACTGATCAGCAAAAGGAAGAAAGTATCTAGGCGTGCATGAAAGATCAACAGTACATTGAAATAACAAATTTTTATGTATAAACTTCAATTATTCGTTAACTTTGAATTGATGAGACAAACTATTTATTTAAGAACACAAAATACGCAAATTTAAACAAATACATATTACAATATTGACATGTTAACCATTGGCTCATAGCTAAATAACGTTTCGCTATGTTAAGATGGCTTTCCAGCTGATTGCTGAAAAATTTGGCGTTCGGATTCTGAGATTTGAGCTGCATGGAAGTTGGCAATGTAAACTGTAGCTTGAGAGTCGACACGAGGATCAGGCTTGACAGCAACAAGTGGACCTTTGTCATCGTCGAAAGGCCGGATTTTTCGTGGACTCATTACATCGTCGTAGTATGCATCCTCCCCCGTTCGTCGAGGCCTTCTAGCCTTGAACAAGCTGAAGAAAGAGGAAGCAGAAGACTTCTTTTGCTTGGTGCCACCCATATTTTAGTATACAATGTCTTGTTCCAAGCGTCGATCGATGAGAAGGAAGGAAAGGGTCAAGTAGCTAGGTAGGGTAAGCAAAGTGTGTTTCGTTGGTTTTGAAATGAGAAATGCAAGAGCTGTGCGTTGATTTATATGGTAGGAGGTGCGTGGGTTGGTTAGCTTGGGAAGAGGGAATCTTTTGATTTTTATTTGGGTGGAGAATCTGGAGAGAATTCAAGGGTCACGGTGGAATGGACATGTTCAAAATATCAACGCATATTTGAGAGAGAAATCATGACCCTCGATCTGCTGTTTTGGTAAAACTTAAGGGCAAAGCATATAGATTGTGGTCCGCAACTTAAATTAACTTGATCAATTTTCTAGGCCAATGTTGACCCGAACAAACAAGCAATATCATCAATCAACTTGTTCTACTTTTCTTGTAATTCTCCTCCTCCTCCTCTTCTTCTTCGTCTATTCTAATCCACTCTTCCTTGTGCTTTCTTCTCCTTTTCAGAACCATACATGTTTTCTCCTCCTTTGAATTTGCATCCATTTCATATACCTTTAACTCTGTTGTTGTGGAATACCTAATTTTTTTGGGTCCTTCCTACCATTTTTCATCTCCTTTGAAGAATTCTTAATTCATTACCTTTTTGTTCACAATTCCAATGAACTTTCCAATTTGACACCTTTTCTTCTTCTTCCTACCATGGCTACATTTTTTTTTCATTTTCGTAATAATTAATGATTAGTTAATAATTAAGAGAATATATATATATATATATGCATCCTTTTAGGCAACATACATGTATAGTATGGCACCGAAGGAGACATATTAAGCAAATGTATGTGTGTTAGATAACATATCTCATAATAAATAATTAAACAAAAAAGAGTAATATATAACGATAAAAAATGGCTACTCACCACAAAGTTTAAGTTTTTTGAATGAAACTCAATATCAACTATTTAAATCTATATGATATCGAGTCTCAAAGATGTCTAAAATCTAAAGCACTTGACGGATCTCAAAAGATGAACTAATTAAGTTTTTGACACCATGCTAAATGATTATCTCAACTCAAAAACTTAAATTGTTAAATAAAATCCCTTGAAATGATTTTATTATTCTTTAACAACGAGCATGTAACGATGTGATATATATAATTAATTTTCAATTATTCCATTTAGATTTTGGATATTTGCGTATCTTTTATGAAGTCTATTGTTCACATTTACCTTATTAACTACCTACGTATATATTTATCAAGATTTACAGAGTTCAAAAATATATTCAAAGCAAAGGAACTAGAGAATAATTTATTAATATTTTATACACTAGCTAGAATTTGGATTAGGGTATCCTTCTCAGAAAGTGCATCTATGAACGTGACATTAAAATTAAAACTAATTAAGCAAGACACGTTTTATACTTAATTACTCATGGACAGTATTAATTAGTTAAACATGCAATTAACTAGAGTTAATTAATTGGTATTTCTAATTATACTCATAGTTTAAGCATTACTTTGTTTATTAAAAAGAAAAGGATGAGAAAGGTATAAATTAATGTAAAGCGTCTGTAAAAGAGGTCAAAAAGATAGATACTTCAAGATTTCTTTTTAATTTGAACTATATGGTTCATGCACTTCTGTGCAAGCTGGATTTTGATTAATTAAATTGTTCCAGATTAATTTTTTTTAATTATTAGAAAAAGTCGGGTCCCCCTTTCTAGCAAGAGAACTAGTCTTCCATCTTAACCTCTTACAATTGATCACCTAGCTATATGCAAGCAAGTATAACGTAACGGTTATATGCCTAGTAGTGTTTTTTAAGTTAAAAAAATTCGTGGTTTTTTTTTTCAGTAAAAAAAATTCAAATCCTGATTAATGACTTTAATTTATTTAGTTACTATTATGCAATGAAAAAAGCTTATCCTCTGTTATTATATAGCCTAAGGTCCAAACGATCTTTCTCATGAATTAGAAAATAATTGATCACCTATAATATCAATGTAATGCTAACATTTAAAAATACATCAGTAGACCAATAATAATAATGTTTATAATCGCAAGAACATTATGTTTTTTTTTAAATATAAATTTTCGAAATTAATTAAAATAGATATGTCTTACGTTATAGATAGCTTAATATAAAAAGCTAAGTTTTGTTGAATACAGCACCAAAAAAACTTGGTGATGATTGATAAAAAAGGGTTATATTCGTTTCCATAGTGTTTTACAACAGGGAATTAATGCAAGCTGCCTAGCTTTAAGGTTGTATCTCAAAACACCAATTAATCAAATATATTTGCATTCCCTACTTGTACTCAACTGCGCGGAACTTATAATTTTTTTTATTCCATTTTTCAATTTCACTTTATAACCTTTTTAATTTTTGGCTGGGAACATTTTTTTTATCATAAAATTATATATATAATATATATACACACAAGGATAATGCCTTCTTGCTGTAAGCAATAACAATCTCATTGATAAATATTATAAATGAAAGGGTGCTTATTCTAAGAGGAATACCTTTTGACACATACACATATATATATATAGAGAGACATCTTCTGTATATATTCTTTGATGATTGATATGGATTTAAAGTCCTGGGCCATGTAGGGTTTCTTCATTCTGATTGGCTCATACATAACTGCTAATCATTAAACAAATATTGGTTCTGGCCAGTTAATCTTCCTTATATTGACCAAATTAAGCAGAGAGTTTGGCCGGTTTAGGTGAAGTACGTATGCTTGAAGGAAGAAGTTTCTACGTACAATTTAATTTTTCACTTTAGTCTCAACCTTGAGCACTACACCTCTTGTGCTTGGAAATTATGTCATCATCTTGTTGAGTTTAATTTAATTTGTTTAAGAATAATTAATGGGAGAAAATTCACATTGTCTAACAATGATGTAAGATGATCACAATTTATACAATCAATGACAAATTTTTGTTTATTGAGTTATTTTGGTTTTTGATATAGTTGTCTTATTACTGTAAATAAGTTCGTTCTTCATCCTGCAACAACGTGCGGCATATGACTTAGTATGTCCTATAAGATTTTCTACTTCGCTCCGCGTCACCTGGTCATTTTGATCAGCCAATAGACATTCCTCTTCCTGACAATTAAGGATACAAATTTTCAAGACCTGCTTTAAAAAATCTGTGTGTCAAGACATGTTGATCTTGCTGCTCTTGCTAAGCAGAAGGCTTTAGTGGGACTGATATAACAGAAATATTCCAAAATAATGCAACTATGGAATTAGAGAAGAAATAGAGAAAATTATCCAGAGGGAAAAATGAAGAGTCCTGAAGTAATGAAAGAATATGTGGTAGATGAAGTGGCTGAAATCTAGGTTGCACATTTTAAGGAGGAGATGAAGTAATCCAGGAGAAGTGTTAATGATGCTGCTATTCAAAAGTGCAAAGATATCTGCCAAAAACTAGCGGCAATCTAGTAATAGGTTACGAGTTGTTCAACTTCAGAAGTTTTTTACATCCAAACAGAATGAAAAGAGGTGCAATGATCTACTTGAAATTTAGAGTAAAAACACTATTTGATACAAACTAAGCATCACAACTTCTGAAAGCAGCAGCTCATCCATCTATCTATTATAGCATAATACTTTCTTCTCCAGTTTTTACTGAGGCAAAGAGGTGCAATGACACTCCAAAACCCAAAAGCATATGCCATGAAGACAAATGAATAGAAGAGCAATGGTTCGTTGATGAGTTCACCCTCCTCGGTGTGACTTTCTTCTTTTTCATCATCTTCATTGTCGTGGCTGTAATCCTCTGAGCATTCCTTCGATAATGGTTCTCCACAGAGCTTAGGATTCCCGACGTAGCTGCTATCAGAAAATGTCGAAAGATGGTAGCCAAATGGGATCCTGCCTGATAGATCATTACAGGCAACATTAAAAGTTCCAAGAGACTTCATCTGTCCAATCTCTGGAGGTATATGGCCTGTTAACTTGTTGTGGGAGAGGTCTAAGCTGTCCAAAGTGGTGAGATTTTGAAAGGAAGCTGGAAAATGGCCGGTCAAAAGATTATGCGACAAGTTCAAAGATAGAAGTTCTAGCAGTTCTCCAAGTTGGATCGGGATGGCATCTGTCAGTTGGTTACTCGAAAGATCAATCCCCGTCATCAAAGTAAGTGGGATGCCTTGGTAAGAATATGAGTTACCCTTGGTGGTAAAATCAATGGGAACCCAAGAGTTTTCTTCAAACTTCTTTCTCCAGGATAAGTTGTTACTAAGGCAAGAAGGAATGGATCCTGAGAAATTATTATTGGACAGATCTAACAAGTGCAACTTTTGCTTTCGACACAATTGCTGTGGAATGGATCCTCCAAATCTATTCACTCCTAAAAGAAGTGCTCCTAATTCAGCGAAAGCTATCTTTTCATCTGAAATTATTCCTGATAGGTTGTTGTGCCTGACATCCAGCAGGAACAAAGATAAGCTGTTTGACAAGCAACTGGGAATATTCCCAACAAAGTGATTATGGTGAAGCAGCAGCCATTTCAATTCTGTCATTTTGCAATCTTTTGGAAGCAACTCACCCCCTAAGCTATTGTTTGACAGATTTAAGTACCAAAATGGGGAGTTTTTGGTTAGACCATTTGGAATGACTCCTGAAAAGCGATTGTTCGACAAGTCCAAGTGTTCTAGATTTTGCATTTCTCCTAAAGAAGGGGGAAGAGTACCAGCGAATTGGTTTGAAGATGCATTGAACGCATAAAGTTTTGGAAGAAAAACATTTATGGTTGTGGGCAATGGCCCTTCAAGAAGGTTGCATGAGATATCCAGCTCGCGAAGTGTCAATGATTTATTTTGGGAAGCATGAGGGAACTCACCAACAAATGAATTGCTCCTCAACCTCAACATTGAAGAAACATTATGGAGCATCCAAGTGGGAAATGACCCATCAAGGAAGTTGTTAGATAAATCTATGGTCTGCAGGGAATATTGGCTGAACAGAAAGCTAGGGATAAGATGATTACTTCTACGGTTGAGATTGCACCCTGCCAACAACAGATGTTGTATTTGGAAAGAAGGATACCAAGTTGGAGATTCAGTGTCAACTTCTAACATGTGGTTGTATGAAAGATCTAGATGACTAAGCTTTGAGAGGTTTGCAAAAATTGACAGTGGGATCAGACCTTGGAAAAGGTTGTGGGAAACATCAACAACCTCAATTTGTGATATGTTGCTAAGAAAGGAAAGGTCTCCCTCGAATTGGTTCCTTGACAAGTCCAGAATTTTGAGTGATGACATGTTAGCCAAACAAGAGGGCACATCACCTTCGATTAGATTGGATGAAAGGTCCAACAGCTGCAAGTTCCTGAGTTTGCACATTGCTGCATTATGAGTCAATATGGATTGTACGTAAGCAATTCGATTAAATTAACAATTAGCAAATGAAATGAATAAACACAGCTTTTCAGTTGATGTGAATTATCTAACCTTCAGGGTTAACCAGTCCACCAATTCTATTCCCTGTGAGTTGCAATTCCTGCAATTCTTTGATTTGAGAAAACAGGTCCATATCTGGAAACCACAACTCCTCTTCTTCCCTAGCATAATCAACGTCCCTAGCATGATCAAAGAATATTCTGACAACATGGGAGCTTGTGAGGCTGCAATCAACCCCCTCCCATTGGCAACAATCATCAGAATAACTTTCTGATGGAGAAGATTCGGACTGAAAGCCCATAGAATCTATGATTTCCTGTAGAGCCCTCCTCTCATCATCCAAGCAACCTATGCACCAGCCAAAGTTGCAACAGATACATAGCATCGCAAGCAATGACACAACACCATAGGGACTCAACTTTCTCATCGTGGCAGCGAGAAGCTGAGGATAACTTAAAGAGAACTGAAGCTATCTGTTATGAGATTAAAGGAGATTAATACTACCTATAACAAATTATGACTGCATAATAAAAGGCAGAAAAACTTGAATCTACATAGAAATGCTAACGAATGGACACGGCATCACACTATTTTCATCCTCTTGCTAGTCAAATTTATTGGCCCCGCTCAAATTCACTTCACCTTTCGCTGCTATTGCAAGCAAATTTCCCGAGTCCTGTTTTGATCATGGCTGTCGCATTTCAGTTTCTTATCTTTTATTGAAAAGCATAGTGTGGTGATTCGGCTCGTAAGTAGAGAATAAAAACTTTGATGGCAGCATATTACAAAAACTCGCCGGCAATTTATTGACTTGGAAGTCTCCATTGACTCGGAAAACACCTTAATTATCTCTTGTCCATATATAAACTTTGATGGCAGCTTTGAGGACCATAAGTGAACCCCACAAAGACTATAGCTTGATAGTTTCCCTGTTGATTCTCATTGATGAATTCATAACGTGGTGATTGGGCTCTTAAGAAGAGAATAAGCTGAACTCTTATTGCAAGTTGGAAGCCAGAAGAAAGACTGTAATGGTCAAAGTGGGAACTTTCTAAGAATTGTGAAAGACATGACAACTGAAAAAATAGACAAAAGAAGGGTCCATGCTTTTGCGAAATCGAGATGCATAAAAGAATCAACATTCATCCTCTAGAAATTGGATCAATAAGTTTCAGCAAAATCATTAACACAAAACATCCAACCATGATAGTTGAAAACCTCTACTTAGTCTTGCCACTTCTGCTCTTGTTTCTAAACTGCAATGGGTGCATGGAAGAAGAAAGAGAAGCTCTCCTACAAATCAAAAGCTCAATAAACAACCCAGAGGGAACTGCTTTCTCAAACTGGTATGGAGAAGATTGCTGCCAGTGGGAGGGAGTTGAATGCGATGTTTCAACCTCTCTTGTCATAAAGATCCTATTTCAACACCGCCGGAGGGAACAAAGCTCGACTGGGAAATGGTATCCCAATGCTACTTTGTTTGCTCAGTTTAAGGGCTTGCAAGAGCTTCACCTGCCTGGCAACCAAATTGAGGGATTCATAGCACCTAAAGGTAAACCTCTGTTGTCAATGCTTCCAACATCTTCTCTATGTTTTCACTGCTGTCTCCGTTGCAGTTATTGTTTGCACTTCTTCCTGCTGTTTTCGTTGCTTGTTGCTATTGCTTGTGCTGTTTAGACTTATTTCTTACACACACTTCTACTCAAAATAACTCTGCAGCATTGCACGAACTGAAATACCTGCGAAAGGTGGATCTCCGCGACAATTTGATAGCAGATGGTTCTCATCTCTGTTGGGGGAATATGCCTTCTCTTCACTTCTTGGATATATCAAGAAATAAATTTCATGGAGATATTCCAAAGTGCCTTTGTGACAGCCAGTCCCTTAGAGAGCTACAACTTTCTAACAACCAATTACAAGGAAACATTGATGCATGCTTCAGCAACATCACTACTCTCAGGTATCTGGATCTCTCTTCTAATCTGTTCAATGGAACCTTTCCGTCATCCCTATTCCACAACCTACCAAATATTGAGTCCTTTATCATCTCACGCAATAAGTTCAATGATGCGATTTCATTAGCAATTTTCGCAAATCTATCAAAACTTACACACCTTGACATTTCATTTAATGCTGATTTAGTGATAGAAACAGAATCCCCTGCTTGGTCTCCGTCTTTTAACCTGAATCAGCTTAAACTGGCTGCTTGTAACCTGAACAAGCAAACAGGCAAAAGAATTCCCAGCTTCATATCCACACAGTACCATCTGCAATACCTAGATTTATCTTACAATTCACTTGTTGGAAGCATTCCCTTTTCGCTGCTATTCAATGTCTCTTCAGAATTGTGGATAAGAGGCAACAACTTGAGTGGTTCATTCCCCAAAAGTCAAGGAAACATGAGCTCCCAGCTAGCCGTACTTGACATTTCCGAGAATCTTCTGTACGGGTCACTTCCTGCAGATATCAACTCCATTTTCCTAGAGTTATGCCACCTAAATGCCTCTGGGAATAATTTTGATGGCAGCCTTCCAGAGTCTTTTGGTGCAATGAAGCAACTTCAGATTCTGGACTTATCATACAATGATTTCGAAGGAAAGATACCCCACAGCATGAAGAGTAATATAACATCTTTTCAATATTTGAAGTTATCTGGTAATAATTTGCAAGGAGAAGCACTTCCGAGGAATTCCAGTTGGTGTGACCTGCGATGGCTATTTCTTGATAGCAATCACTTCTCAGGATTATCTCTAGATAGTCTGTCAAAATGTTCCTCTTTGCTAATGCTTAGCGTTCACAGTAATGCCTTGTCTGGTGAGCTTTCAAGAAACTTCCCTGTCGTCCCTCAATTAAGAGTACTGATTCTAGGAGAAAACCATTTCAAAGGGCGAATTCCCCTCCAGTTGTGCCAGTTGAAACACTTGCAGGTTTTGGATCTTTCACAAAATGATCTCTCAGGTGATATCCCCACATGCCTTGACAACAATACTTCTTGGACTGAAGGATCTATTAGCGAAGATGTTGAAGCACACTTTTCGGCTGATGCCGCCATTAACTTCACCCAGAAAGGAAGAACATTATCGTTCAAAGGAAGAATTATGCTTTATTTGTCGTGCAATCGACATTTCTTCGAATAAATTGACTGGAACGATTCCCTATCAAATCACAAAGCTGGTAAGAATCCATGGTTTGAATATGTCTAATAACCTTCTCACGGGGGAGATACCTGCTTCTTTGGGGAATTTAAATGAATTGGACAGCATAGATCTTTCCCATAACAAGCTATTTGGTAGTTTCCCTCATAACCTAACTGACATGACTATGCTTGAGTTTTTTTCTGTTGCTTTCAATAATCTGTCAGGCCAAACACCAGAAATGAAAAATCAATTTGGCATGTTTGATGAGTCCAGCTATGAAGGCAATCCCAGACTGTGTGGCCCACCGTTGGAGAAGAGATGTGACAAACTCGTTGAGGAAAGGCCATCAAATCTCTGCTCAAATAAGGCCACCACTTCAACGTTGATACTTTGGTGCATGGTTTTCTTCTTCATTAAGATCGTATACTGAAATACTGTATCGTTTCAAGCTCCAGGATGTAGATTTAACCTTCTGTACTAGAATCTATGTATTACTGGTTCCAAAAAAAAAATCTGTGCTACAATATACTTAATAAGGTAAGGAGGACGCCCGTTCCGTTTGAAAATAACAAAGATAACCGAAAACATTGTCAATAAGGTTTCAACTATTAAAATTTTCTGTCAAATGAGCATTGTTTTGAAGAAAAACATGATAGAAAATTTAAATTTTACAAGAATTGGGATCGCTTTGAATTTAAATTTTACGAAAGTTAGATTTGATGGTTGACTCGTACAAACATGCCAAACCAATTGGTGGAGCATGATCCTTTTTCGAGATCAACAATGCAGTGTTGTGGGGAACATGAAAATCTTCCAACCGTAAAGTGTTTGAAAAATAAAAGTATTTTGTCGGGTTCAAAAATTCTTTGCAAACTCGATACTAAAAATCCCAAACATCTCTCAGTGTGAGAAGGTATATTCATAGGTGCTTTTTTCTGAAAAGGATTGAGTTTGAACGTCTTATATATATATATATATATATATATGCAATGGGAGATGACTATCTCTCATTGTATAGTTCAAATTAAGACCTATAATCCTCTAATGAATAATAATAATGATAAGAGAATTAGGATATTTAGGCACATAAGTTTCTTTGCATAGTATTACGCAAAAGAGATGAGAAACATCATGGTATAATGCAAAAGAGATAATATTCCAGAAAGTTATTCTAATCTGCCCTATCAAATTTTTGTAACATCCAAATGCAGTCTAACAAGCCTCTATTGATTGGAATAATATATTTTAATTATACAATTGATTTTTTTTTAATGAATTTAGTATCTTTTATTAGAAATTTTGCAATTCTTATACAAATGATATCATAAATAAAGCCAAATCCAACAGAAACAGAATATTTAGACGAATTGAACCACATGACTTGTAGTATATCTTCGTATTATATTTATATATAAAACTTGTGTTCTTATATCTTGTGATTTGCAAGATTTGTGGAAGATTTGATGAAGGATGGGTGTGGGTTAGTGATTTATGGCAGCTTTCGACAGATGTGAGATGGATTTGGTCGCTGAAGCTCATTGCTCCAGAGGTCCAAGCCTGTTAAGGAAGCCAGGAGAGAGCTGGGCCTAGAGCCCAATGTTAGCGAGTCTGATATTTGAGACGTGGTTCTCATCAGGAAGCCAGCATTAAATCGACTTGGAAAAGTAGCACTTGTTCTATCTCTGATAATAAATAGAAATCAAGCAATCCCAGATAATATAAGAGGACTCGAGGAGCATGCTCCCAATATTTAGCTGGAAGATGGATCAATTTCTCAATTAATAAAAATTTAATCAAATTAACTGCTTGTGGGCTTTTATATTGATAAGATTTTGTGGGCAGAAGCCAAGATTAGCCCAGCTCTAAGTAGGCTCACAAGGCCCATAAAGTTTAATGGCAGCAAATTCGTGATTTTTTTTTTCTGCTAAAATCATAGAGATTTATTATTATTAGTATTATTATTTCATTTAGGGCTTAAAAATTAAAAAATAAAATTGAAAATTATAGTTGTTGTTTGTTCAACATCATAGGGATTTCCAAATTTATTAATTTTTAATTTTTTTGCCAAAATTATAGGACTTTCTTTTTTTTATTTTTTTTTTGTGAGGACTTAAAAAAGTAAAACTAACATTTTGGGGAACTACGGTTACATTAAATACAAATTACACAATGAAGCTGCATACATACATACATTATTATTATTATTATTATTATGGTGAAAATGATTCAAAACAAAACACCTAATGTGTTGTTTCGTTATTAGAAATGAAAGGTCCGGAACTAAAATGCAAAAATCGAAATAAAAATTAGGAAATCGAAATAACATTTATATTCTTATATTGTGTTTGAAATACTAATGAGGAATCAGAATGTAATGTAAATTTTTTAATATCTGATTTTTATATAAATAAAAATAATAATTAAAAAAAATATTTTACTATAATGTTTGTAAAATTAATAAAAGTGATAATAGTTATGATTATGGACGTGGTGGTGGTTAATTTAATAAAAATTATTGCTTAACATATATATATATATATATATAAAGTCTATCCTTGCTCAATATTACTAAAAAAAACTAAAAAAATCTAGGATTGTCATTATTTATTTACCGTAGTAATTTTTTTTCCCCGATTTGAACAGACCTATAAGAATCGCCAGTTAAATTGCAATATTCAATATTTGGTCCATTTGGCCTTCTTCTTTCATGTTAGGACCCACCCACATTTTGATTTTATTAGAATCATAATATGCTATAAATTAATTTCATGCTTGAATCAATGGATTATTATCAATAAAACTAAAATAAAACATAGTTTTAGTATTCATTCACTATTTAAAAATATTATTCACATACTCATATATCATTTTTCCTTTCACTATCTATGGTATTTTTGTAACACTTTGGTCCTCAATTTTTCTATACTTCTTTTTTTTTCAATTTCAAACTTTGATTGTATTGTAATTTGATCTCATTTTGTTTTAATGTTTTTTATTAATTATTTTTATTATTTCAAATTTTCTACTTTAATTTGTATTTTTTTTTAATTCTCTTTTTTTTTTCAATTTCAAACATCAATTATATTGTGATTTGGTCCTATTTTGTTTTAGTATTTTTTATTAATTATTTTTATTATTTAAAATTTACTTCTTTAATTTATCATTTTTTTTTGTTTAAATTCTCATCCAATTAATTTGAAATTATATTTACTGATAGTTTTGATTTATTTTTCTATATATATGGCTTTTGGAATAAATTTTTACAACATGATTATTTTTTCTTTTGAAAAATAGATTTAGACAATTTTAAATTATAATGGCATGATTAATATATATAATTTGTTTGAAATATATTTTTAGAGTAAAAATATATTTCAAATAATTTTTTCTGGGTTTTTTTATATTATTTTAAATTTACTACATTAATTTGTCATTTTTTTTTAAATTCTCTCTCTCTCTCTTTTTTTTTTTTTTAATTTCAAACTTTGATTATATTGTGATTTGGTCCAATTTTGTTTTAGTATTTTTTATTAATTATTTTTATTATTTAAAATTTACAACTTTAATTTGTTATTTTTTTTTGAAATTGTCATCTAATTAATTTAAAATTATATTTATTTGTAGTTTTGATTTATTTTTCTATATGTATGGATTTTGAAATAAATTTTTAGAACATGATTATTATTTAAAACAAAATAGATTTAGATGATTTTTAAATTATAGTTGCATGATATATATATATAATTTAAAATTATATTTACTAATAATTTTTAATTTATTTTTCTATATGTATGGATTTTGGAATAAATTTTTAGAACATGATTATTTTTCTTTTAAAAAATAGATTTAGATAACTTTTAAATTATAGTGGTATGATTAGTATATATAATTTGTCTAAAATATATTTTTAGATTAAAAATGTATTTCAAATAATTTTTTCACTATTTGTTTTTTAAAAAAACTCAAATTAATTAATTAATAGTTGAAAGTGAAATTAATATAGTTTTTTATTTTAATATTATTCATTTTTTGTAAATAAATATATAAAATTAAATTCATATTTTTTTCAAAAATCAATATTCTCATCAACATTAAATAAAAAAATTATTTATTCAATTCTTTTTTTTTTTTTTTTAAGGAACAAAGGCGGTACCTTGAAAATTTATAAATGAAAAGTGAAAAAATTACGAGGGACAAACTGGCCGGACTCAAGAAATTTGGGGGGGGGGGGGGGGGGGCGCTAAACCCCTAAGAATATTGCATTGGCAAAATTATCCAACTAAAATAAATTGAAACTTATGCCAGTATACTACTCAATAAATTAGTTATCTCTTAAATCTCGTTAATCCATAGTAGTCTTCCTTAAGGGCCACTCGGACTGAATCAAGGAGGGTATCCAATGAGTGATATATATCTTGACTTTAGTGAGCATCAGCATGATTTTCTAGTCTATCAGTAATGCAATTTCCTTCCCTGTAGGTGTGCATAATTGTAATACCTTCTAAAATTTATTTGCTATTTTATTTGTTCAATTCTATATAAGCTTTTAAATAATTGTTATTCATATTTTTTGACACAATCTTATAAAATACTAAAGCTTTTTTTAAAAAAATATATTTATTTATTCTTAGTTAATAATCCATGGATTAATAGGGATAAATCCTTTTTCTAGAAAAAATAAAAAGCATAAATAAGAAATAGTTAAATATAAAATTTTTTATTAAATATTTTTTATATTTGATTTTATATATTTTTATATATTCATACCATAAAATAAACTATTAAACTGAAATAATTTTTCTAAATAATTTTATATATGTTATCCTACTCTACAACATTGGAAAAAAAAAAAATTGTGATATTTTACTTAAACTTCACGGAAGCATCATTCTCTATTTATTATACTCGTTTGTTGATCTTGTGTATAAAAACTGTCTTTTTTGACTTGAGAATCAGACTATATTGGTCAACTTTTTTATACTCGTTTGGTTGATCTGTTG